ATGCTTTTACAAAACTCAATTTATTTTCATATCAAAGGGGGGAACAAAATGATTTGTGATGTTGAGGTGGGGCATGATACACAAAAGGTTGGGAACCACTGCATTACAACATACATTTAAATGGCCTAGTGTAACTGTAAAGATCACAAAAAAGAATAATGCTCTAAATGTTACTCGTTATTATTACCATAAGCAATGATTATATGCTTCAAGTTATGAAAAACAAGCATTTGCCATGCAAGATATGCCCACGTTTTGCAAGAAATGGACGGAGAAAAGGTAAAAAATAAAAAAAATATATATATTTATTTTATGATCAGTAGTGGAATTCCGCGTTTTATCAGTGAAATAAAAGTGTTATTCCACTTGCTTAAGTAGTCCATGTTGTTTTTACCTAAAATGATTGTAAAATCTTAAAATAAATAGAACATTTGTTATTTCATCTCTAAGCAAGAAAACGTTTATATTTTCACTCATGCTATGCATTCGTGAAAATATAAGTTTTCTTGCTTCTCGATGAAATAAAATATGTTATTCACTCTAAAACGACAAATATCCTCTATATATTACATATAATCAGTGGCCATAATCCATGAAGTTACAGTCCGAAGTATCGAAAGGAACCCACATCTTTGGGATATAAACATATATTTTAAGTTTTATCAAAATCGGGTAAAAATAGTGACTTCTAGAGGGTCCGCAACCTTGGTATTACATATTTTTACACTATTAGCATATGTGGAGCGGTCATTTTGTGGGCAGTTTTGGTCACAAAATTTCCAACTCAACAATCATTATGGTGAAACAGTGTTATATTTAAACAGTTTTTTAAATCAGATAAAAATTGTGAGCTTTAGAGAGTCCACAAGCTAAATATAGAGGTCACAATTGTTGTCCGATTTTGATGAAACTGAAAATATATCTTTATATCCCGAAGATCTCAGTCCCTTACGATAATCACGCATTTCAGACCATAACTTCCTGGATTATGTCCCCTGATCGTACGAAAAATCAATATATTTTTTTTGGGCTATCTATTCATATCTTGCACAATGTGGGCATATCTTGCCTGGCAACTGCTGGTTCATTCTCCAAATGCTATTTGTTTAAATCTACGCAGGAATGTGTTCATCACTATAAACTGACATAACTGCAATTGTCAGAAATATAATTAAACATTGAATGAGATGAAACCAAGTATTATTTCTACATGTCTATATATAAACTTTTAACATCAGTATAAACTGACATAACTGCAATTGTCAGAAATATAATTAAACATTGAATGAGATGAAACCAAGTATTATTTCTACATGTCTATATATAAACTTTTAACATACTGGATTTGAAACATCAATTCATTGCTTAGGGAGTCTATGGTAATTTTAAGTATGGTATTCTACAAAAGTAATTACAATTATTTTCTTGGTGAAAGTGATTACCAGGTATTCCCCAGAACACTCATATCTTGTGCATATGGTAATTCAGATTCTGAAGGTGTTAACAAATAATTAAATTGTATATTGCTAACATATGGTCATGTTTTCAAGGCTTAGCACCCAAAAAGATTTATACAATATCTTTAAAATAATGAACATATTTGAGTGTACTACGGACCAGGAACCAAACATGGGAACATTGCCGCCATCTTGAAATTGTGACATATCAAAAATTAACGTCTGTCAATTGATGCACAAATGTCTAAGGAATAAGCATGTTAAGTATGAAGATTGTACTGGAATTAGGCTTTTTTGAAGACCATCACCTTCAAGAACAACAAGGTGTTGGGAGTTGGGGCCCAGTTCCTGGTCCAAAATGTAACAATTACAGCAAATTGTTCTTTTACAGCCATACACATACCCATAACCCCACTCCCTGTATATTCGGTAGTAACTCTAACACAGTGTTGTAAGATTGTTGTTAATAATGGTTAAACTGACATGTTTTATTAATAAAAGATATATTGTCGTTAGAATAATAAAATTAAAGATAGGTTGCCGGGCAACGAAACACTTACGCCCACAGCAGCTAAATCATCCAGGCAGTCAACAAGAGCTGTCGCATATTTTTACTTTTTTCGGTAATAAAACATTTATAATACACTAAAATCTGATTAAGAGCAACAATTCATGAAGTAATTATCAGAAAACCATTAGAATTTGTTTGGTTTTTATAAAGTTCTGCCCCATGCTAATGTTTTGTATACAAAACTTTTAATATTATGGATTTAGCTGTTCAAGTCATAAAAATTCATTGAAAATCAATATACTTGTTCGTCTCAAGATCTTAAACTTTGTGTATCAATCTGAAGTCAATCGGATGATAACTTTAGCCTTTAGAGCGTCACAATCGTTGAAAATCAATAGGTTTCTTCGTCTCATGACCTTAAACACTGTGTATAAATTTAAAGTCAATCAGATATGAACTTTGGCCTCTAAGGCGTCCACAAGATTTCTCAAAGTGATCAAGGGTCATAATTCTGGCAGTAATTATCGGAAATCGCTGAAAATCATTAGGATTCTTCGTCTCATGACCTTAAACACTGTGTATAAATTTAAAGTCAATCGGATATTGACTTTAGCCTCTAGAGCGTCCACAAGATTTTTCAAAGTGATCAAGGGCCTGAACTGGCAGTAATTATCGGAAATTGCTGAAAATCAATAGGCTTCTTCGTCTCATGACCGTAAACACTGTGTATAAATTTAAAGTCAATCGGATATTGACTTTAGCCTCTAGAGTGTCCACAAGATTTTTCAAAGTGATCAAGGGTCATAACTGGCAGTAATTATCGGAAATCGCTGAAAATCAATAGGCTTCTTTTTCTCATGACCTTAAACACTGTGTATAAATTTAGGGTCAATCGGATATTAACTTTGGCCTCTAGAGCGTCCACAAGCAATTGTGGACGCCGGACGGACGGGGGTGACGACAATATACGACCACATTTCAATGTGGGCGTATAAAAATTGTTGTTACTATTTAATGTTTTAACATGAGCAAAATACTAAATAAATAAGGAAACAAAAAAAAATCTGAAATTTCAAAACATAATAAACTATAACAATCAATGAGCTAATAAAAATTCAAAACAACAATATTATGTACTAAAAGCTGTTGTACAAATGCTTATCAAATAACAATTTTGGGCACATATATGGTTAACAGATAGATAAGATTTTATTGTATTGAAACATCCATTTAGGACAGCATACAATATAAACATGTACATATATTTATAACAATATGACAAATAATATGATATTATTGTCAACAAATTGAAAGAGTAATAGCACCATAGTCAATCTGATTAAATCACAGGTCCCATTTCAACTCATTTTTTACTCAAATTTTATTTAAATAAACAGCACTGTTTTAAGATGCATTATTCAACAGCTAGAGACCTTTCGTTTGGCTTCAAATGTTATATAAATCAACAGATTTAAATACGACTGGCAGTTAATGATTTAATGGATAATCAAGACTTTGTTTATTATCATAACACAGAAGCAATGGCAATTGAGACTACGCTGTTTTGCAAACGATGAGAACTCCGCTGTGAATGAAGTAAATTGACAAATTTTCAACATATTCCCTTTTAATTATCTATTTGTTAACAATTATAGCGAGAACTATCAGCTATTATCTAAATCTTACATAAGGTATCTTTAATATGTGGTATTATCCAATGAAATGTTCTATTTATTCAAGCTATGCATGAAATTCTGGGAGTCCCCAAGTGAGTGGTTGTAAGCCAAACAAAATTAATATAAACAGTTTACATGACTCTGGACTTAAACTTCCAAGCAAACCAGTCAATTCTATATCAAAAGCAAAAAGAAATGGAACTAAACTTAAATCCGTATTTTAATCAGATTGCATTAAAGATACATTATGGGAGATAAGATAAAGAGATGGCAGTTCTCGCTATAATAGTTAAAGATGGGTTGCCAGGCAACAAAACATACACCCCCAGCAGCTAAATCGTCTGAGCGGTCGTCAAGGGTTGTCGCATATTTATTCCTTTGTAGGTAATTGGGAGCCTTTATAAGACAGTTCCATACAGATCAGATTATAAATTTTGTCGTTTGAGGGTTTACAAGGTTCTACAAACTGAAGCAAGGGTCTTAACTCTGGAAGTAATCTACAGAAATTATTGATATTTGACAGGCTTTTTCGTTTTATTAATTTATGCATATAAATTTCATACAGATCACATGTCATTCAAACGTTCACAATCGTCATAACTCTAGAAATTATTGACGGAAATTGCTAAAATTCAATAGACCTGTTTCACAAATTTAAATGATGCATATAAATTTCATACATATCAGATGATAACTATTATCAATCGAGCATAAACAAGGTTTAACAAAGTGAAACAAGAGCAATAACTCTAGAAGTAATTATTGTAAATTGCTTTTTCTTTTCACTAATTTAATTCATGCATATAAATTTCACAATGATCGGGTGATAACTTTTTGCGTTAGAGCGTTCACAAGGATCAATAAAGTGAAACAAGGGCCATAACTCTAGACGTAATAAACGGAAATTGCTAAAATTCAATAGGCTTCTCCGTCTCACTAATCTAAATAATGCATATAAATTTCACAAAGATCGAATGATAACTTTTGGCGTTGAAGCGTTCACAAGGATCAATAAAGTGAAACAAGGGCCAAAACTCTAGACGTAATAAACGGAAATTGCTGAAATTCAATAGTCTTCTTCGTTTCAGTAACCTAAATAATGCATATAAATTTCAGAAAGATCGGATGGTAACTTTTGACGTGAGAGCGTTCACAAGGATCTATAAAGTGAAACAAGGGCCATAACTCTAGACGTAATAAACAGGAATTGCTGAAATTCAATAGGCTTCTTCGTTTCAGCAATCTAAATAATGCATATAAATTTCAGAAAGATCGGATGATAACTTTTGACGTGAGAACGTTCACAAGGATCAATAAAGTGAAACAAGGGCCATAACTCTAGACGTAATGAACGGGAATTGCTGAAATTCAATAGGCTTCTTCGTTTCAGTAATCTTAATAATGCATATAAATTTCACAAAGATCGAATGATAACTTTTGGCGTTAGAGCGTTCACAAGGTTCAATAAAGTGAAACAAGGGCCATAACTCTAGACGTAATAAATGGAAATTGCTGAAATTCAATAGGCTTCTTCGTTTCACTAATTAAAATAATGCATGTAAATTTCACAAAGATCGAATGATAACTTTTGGCGTTGAAGCGTTCACAAGGATCAATAAAGTGAAACAAGGGCCAAAACTCTAGACGTAATAAACGGAAATTGCTGAAATTCAATAGGCTTCTTCGTTTCAGTAATCTTAATAATGCATATAAATTTCACAAAGATCGAATGATAACTTTTGGCGTTAGAGCGTTCACAAGGTTCAATAAAGTGAAACAAGGGCCATAACTCTAGACGTAATAAATGGAAATTGCTGAAATTCAATAGGCTTCTTCGTTTCACTAATTTAAATAATGCATGTAAATTTCAGAAAGATCGGATGATAACTTTTGGCGTATAAAAACTAGATAGTGTAAAGGTAATTTGCTGGAAATTTCAGTCAAATTGATCCACTACGAGCCGAGAAAGAAGCGGGTGAAATTTTTGCATAGTCTCGGTCATCATTACTAAAATCATTAATATAAACAGCATAGTCTCGATTATCCACTTTTTCTGATTTAATTATCAATAGCCGTTAGCGGCATATAGGAATCTAATCCAGCCAACATCGAAGGCTAGCCTTGACATCAAGAGTTTATTATGGTCTGGATAAGTTAATTAATGTCTAATTGATAATTTAGATAACATTTCAAGCCTAAAGAAAGACTTGTAATAAGCAGATTTTGCTCTTGCATAATGCATGTTTAATAAAGCCAATTTCCTTGTAAAATCATTAAGGTTTTGATTATTTTAAAGGTTGTAAAGGACCTTTTAAACATAGAAATATCTATTCTTATATTCTACAGTACGATGAAATTAAAATATATACACAGAACTCAAAATATTAAAAAGTTGGGCACAATTTTGAATTTAATTTGAAAAAAGGTTGAAGCTGCTACATGCAACTAATTTTTTTAGTCATTTCTTGACAAACCAATTATAAATTTTGTCTTTCTTGGGTGTAAACTGATTTTTGTTTTTTCATAATTTTCATTTTTGCAATGGCTGATATAAATGGAACTTGTTACTCATATTTAAGTGAGAAACCATATCAGTGTTGCCAATAATAATCTTGGAGAATGTTTTTTGGCTTTACAGAAAACTGTGCCCTTGCCTAAGATTGCATACAAATGGTGATTGCAAAATTATAATTAAACAGTTGTGAGCCCTGAGTCTGAATTTTTTTTTTATTTCATAGAATTAATCACAGAATTGTGAAAGCATACATTCAGGTTAAGTCATCCCTGTACATATTAAAATTGTATAAACATAATTAGAATCTGATTTATCCTAACAAAACAGTCTTCATGGTTGATAATGATGGCCTTGCAGTGGATGGAGATATACTTGGTGATGGAGTTTTAGGTGACTTACTAGTAAACACCATTTTTGATGAGATAATTGATGGTCGATCTTCATTCAATAATCTTGCCAGCAGGCTTTCTACAATATTGGTCACTGATTGGCCAATTTGATCAGGTGATGTATTTTTAGAACTTAGTTTTAACCAATCATCTTCATTTACACCCTGAGGTAGCTGAAATAATAGAATAGGATTATGCAATGGACGACTCCACACTGATCAGCAGTGAATATTCGCTAGACTGCTACAATCACCTATAAGTATAACATCAATATTACTTAATGAGCCCCAAATATTAACTTTTTTCCTCCGGCAATTAAATTCTAAAACATTTTTTTTTTATGTATTAGAAAAATAAATAAAGACTTCTGAAGTATTTGTAGATAAAAATTATTTCCTATTTTGTGTAAATGGGTAGTAAAATGAGTAAAAGACACCATTCCGCCCGAACCAGTAACATCTTATGTAAACAATGCATGTGCCATGGAGCAATTGATTGACACCGCGTGATGTGACGTCACATGTTAAAGACAGTCATCTTTTACAGAGATATTAGAAAACTTTCGTAATACTCTGCAAAAAGATTGGGACGACCCTTGTTCACATACATTTGTTTAGAAAATATTTCTTATATTTATATCAAAATTTTTCATTTCCAAAATATTGATAAATGTATTTGTTTCTAGAAATATTCCCCAGGCTGGATTGAACCCCATTACATAAACTTAATATATTCACCTGAAATATTTTATCTGGGACATTAAATTTCCCACCAGCAGCGCCCCCTGTACATCTAACAGGTATAACTACTCTATCATTCCATACAAACTGCTCTGTTTCATGTGCTGATCCAGGCCCACCTTCATAAAATATAACATTTCATTTCATATCATCTGTTGTTTTCAAGTGGAATTAGCTCAAATAGAAGTAAATATAAGGTCATACCAATTTATTTTTCTGTTTCTCAGACAATCATTCGAAAAATTTAGAAGGGAATGTTTTCACTTTGCTTGTTTTTATTTTTCTTTAGTTTTATTTTGTCAAAGGATAACTATGATCTGTTTTGAGGAATTGGCTTACATAATTACTATCTTATTTTACAACCATGACTAAAATTTTCTCCTACTGGAATTTTAAAATACCGTTTTATAAAGAAGACAAACAATGTTTCGACATCACAAACTATTCTTAGCACAGACGTTTTGCTTTCATTTTCTGCCGTATAAACGAAGACATGTAATTTTGGAGGAATATTATTACTGACGTGAATTTGAAGCAGGTATAGGGCAGTACGCTTTCATTCTATCGTATTATGAAAACACTTAATTTTGTAGGAATATTACTGACATAAATTTGAATACCATATGGGAAATAAATAAAAAATAGCGAGCTTCACCTTTTTTTTTTGTATTCAGAACACTGTATGCTACAGAACATAAAAATATTTGGAGTTGAAGTCTATTAAAGGGAATGGAAACTTACTGACACTATTTTCTGAAGCTGAGAAACTACTTCTGGTGACCTAATTCTCTGGCCTCTATTAACATCAACTAAAAATTCTGACGAGCAAAATACAAGCAGCAAAGAATTGTTCATTCAGTCTTACAGTCTACAGACATAAGCATGGATTTTTTTGTTCTAATATGAATACTTAGTATTCAATACTACTTCTTCCATCTCTCATCCCCATCTCATATAATATCAGTTATTTCTTTTTCATTGCTATTTCGCAGGATAATTATTGTCCACGGAAAAATGCATTTCAAAGACTTATAAAAATTTAGTGGATAAATGGATGGTCACAATTTCTTGCCAGTGCCATTTTTGATTGTAAATAACATTTATGAAGATTACATACTTGATTGTCTGTAAGACAGTTACTTGCTTTACCGCTGAAAATATGAACATGCAGACCTTTTCCACTGATGCAGCAATACATGAGAACTAGAATATCTCTTGTTATATGGCCTAAGTATAGATCTACTTTAGACATCTCATTTATATATCAAATTCTGATAAATTGTTCAAAAGAAATAATGTATTTTTATTTCAGTAGTCAGTACGCCTGCCCATCTTCAAATTCCTGGAGTTTTTCAAGGCATTACATTGTATACCCAGTATTTCAAAATTTCTGTCTCATCTAAATCACTCCAGACCAGTCAATGCAGTCAAAATGGTTTGATCTTATTTTTCAACTAACCTTCAATCAATATACAAACATCAAAAGATCTGGCTACTAAAGTTTCTCTCTCATGAACATCATCACCACAGAATAATGTTTTACCAAATGGTATGATTTCAAATCTACCATCTGTACCTTGTCTACCTTGAAGATGCCGATCCTAAATACAGGATTAACATAATACAATATGATAAATGAAAAAAATAATATTAATCTATCTAATTTACAAAGCTCCAATTAACTACTGAGCTACATTTTCCTAACAAGTGCATGCTATATTCATATAATGGAACTTACAATTAAATAAACTTTTGAATTTCTTTGTTTTATTCACAACTACAAACCAAAACACAGAAATGCAGTTTTTAACCTACTAACAGCCATCGTAATTCATGTCACTTTGAGTGAACCATAAAGAAATTTACCGTCTTAAAGCACTTTAACGTCTACTGTCTGTTCTATGGAATTTGTTGAGGTATTAGGTTTTTTTTTGGGGGGGGGGGGATTCAATAGTGTGCCACTGTTTCTATTAAGTGGTGAATTGGATGGTACATTTATTGTATTATTTCCATCCCTTGGAGCCGCAGTGTCTAAGTAAGTGAAATGCTGGCTTGCTAACCAGAAAGCCTCAGGTTTGCTCCCGATATTGGCCGTGAAAGTGGTGATTTGGGTAGTACATTATAAATGCTAATTTTTATTATTTCCATCCCCTGGAGCCGCAGTGGCTCAGTAAGTAAAAACACTGACTCACTAACCAGGAGGTATCGGTTTGCTTCTGATGTTGGCCGAAAAAGTTCCTCAGAATTTTCAGGCATGGTCTGCATTGTCAGTGTTGCAGGAAGGAAGACCTGACAAGGAACAGTGTTTAGTTGTTTGGATGGGAAGAAAAACTGAGGCCCCGTGTACATGTTGGCATGCAAGTAAAAGAACCCTTGACAGTTGGAATTCGAAATAACCAAGATTGATCAGTATCACCACTGTCAAGGCAAAATTTCCCCATTGCACACTGTATGTCGTATGCCCGTCTTCATTAGCCTAGTCAGAGCAGAAAAGCAGGACGTTAAACCCCATTTCATTTCATTATTTGAATCACATACACAATCCCCTGTCAATAATATTGTGGTAATATGAAAAATATATACTTGTGGATCTTTTTCTGGTAATATATGCCATACTTGATTTTTCTTCTTTAATCTTTCATTTTCTTTATAGAATGAATGACTAACAGTTTCACCAACACCATGAAAACCACCAGTAACTACAGCTATGTTCTTCAACTGATTTAAATGTAAACCTACAGACCTTAAAACAAATATTACAACAACACTGATTTATAGAAGATATCAAAATTAATTAATGGAAATTGTTGAAATATATGTCATCATCTCACTAATCTAAATAACACATCAAAATCTCACCGATGTAAAATATAAAGTTCAAAATGATCGGATTTTAAACAACGTAGTCTGTAGAATGTTCACAAAACGCACGGAGACGATGACTATAAAAGTCAGTCTGTCTACTCGAATGACATAAAATGAAATGAAATATAGAAAGAGAAATGGGGTTCAACATAAACTTACATATGGGACTAACATATGGTTCAATTTTATTTCAATAATTTGCTTGCGCATAGGGGGCTTTAGCAGTGGAAACTGGAGGACCCAGAGAAAACCCACAAGGATGGACAGGCGACCCTAGTCCTTGCCACGTACAACCTCGGAATCGAAACCATGCCCGTTGACTCAATGACAGACCTTATAATACAACACGCATGCGCTAACCATTCGGCCATCCAACCCCCCCACTCCCGCCATGAGATGAACTGAAATGGGGTTTAACAACATACTGTTCTGTCCGACTGGGCTAATGAAAACAGTAAGTAACATAAAGGAGCGCTTCTTATGTGTTGATCTAATGGCTGATGCACGCAGGCAATGACAGTATAAGTCAGTCTGTCTACTCGATTGACATAAAATGAAATGAAATGGGGTTTAACGTCCTACTATTTAAAATCAGAGGTTAAATTTTGTCAATTTTTTTCAGTTGGTCTCTTTAACACGACAACAGCACAATATTAACCATCTGGATTAGGCATCCAGTCAAATGTCTACATGATCAAAGATTTTCTGTATCACAGGTTTCGATTGGTAGGCTGATTAGGATTGCATTACCCAACATACCTTATAAACAAATGTTTGCAAAATCTCCCTCTTGTCTGTGATATTATCCTAGATGGAAGCAAATGTTAAGCTCGACAAGAAAATGAAGAATATCCCCCTCCTTGGAAGCAGACATAAAGCCCCAGAGACCAAGATGAAGTGGAGTAAACAATTTGAGTGATTCTGATTTAATTGGTTAAAATTATTAGTGACATACTTGCATATTTCCTCGGTGTTGGGATTGTAGAATTTCGTGCTACCTGATATATAAATACTGGCAGGATTCTTTATAGCTCTTTTAATATGGCTAATCTGTGAACAAAAAACAAGTTCTTAGATTAATTTGATCAGAAACTATAGATTGATTTCTTAAGACACAGTAACATGGGATAATAACATATTCAAGGCTATTGATAAAAGTTACCTTTACTTTTGAAATATGGATTTTGACAATTTTTTCTCATAAACCAATATTAACACAGTAGTTACATACTTGCAAAGGAGTTGGTATTTATAATTGTAACATGCTTAGGGTGAATCTTGCATTTTGATTGGTCGATTAGACACTGTCTATTGGACAATAACACCCCTCTAGATTAGAAAAATCACTGCGTATTAATATTATGCGTACTACTTTAATGGCGATAACCACAATGGAGACAATCAAATTTGATCTCGGTACTTAGATGAAATATTTGGAGATATGCCCGAAGATGAACTTGAAACGCCAACCCCCTTGTCAGGTAACAGCTACAAACAACAAAATATTCAAAAATCTATTACAGAAACATAAATTTGTTTCAAAAACTACTTTTAAAAAAATGAAGTGAGAATTTTAGGGTTTTTTTTGTATGTCTATACTCATATAGCTAGTATAGCAACCAGACGATAAGCGAGACCAAATCTAACATGAGCAGCCAGTTACCCCGCTACGTCACGACGTTTTCATTACGTCAAAATTGATTTCTTTGGTTTTTACGTCACTAAAACTGATTTGCAGTACGACGAATTTTGAAGTTTACACAATAAAATAAGTTCTTTAAAAATTCTAAAAAATAGCATGTTACAATGTCGATAAACACCTCCTGTTTCGCATTTAGAGGGGTGTTATTGTCCAATAGACATGTCATGAGATTTTACATTAGAACCTGCGATGCTAACGCGTCTTGGGTCCTAATGATCTCAGGACATGTCTATTGGACAATAACACCCCTCTAAATGCGAAACAGGAGGTGTTTATCTCCTAAGCATTATTTAAATCAAATCAACTTTTGTAAACTAGGTTATGGAGGTATAAATGACTACCGGTTCAATTTAAATGACCATAAGTATGAACAAACTTTAATTTTAAGAAATATTTAATACAGTTCTTACGGCAGCATTTGATTTTGCCAGGTTGATTTCTCTCTGTAGACTATCTTTAGCTGTTGGATCTACACATCTTTGAATTTGGGAATGAAGTAATTTCTTATAACCCTTTTGATTGACATGCTAGAAAAATTTTAAAAAAAGATAGGTTTCCAGGCAATAAAACAGCAGCTAAGTCATCCAAACAGTCCACAAAGGTTGTTGCACATTTATTCTTTTGTAGGAAATAGGAACATTTACAAGACAATAAAAATTGCTCAAGAAACAACTCATGAAGAAATTATCAGAAATAATCAAATTTCTAGTCTTAACATGTACCAATAATCAGATGATAACTTTAATTAGCTGTTCAAATTATCAAAAATCGTATAAATATCAAATCAATCACACAGATGGAGGACGAGGTGACAACAGTATATGACCATATTTCACTTTTGACATTTAAAATGAAATGGGGTTTAATGTGCTACTTTTCTGCACCAACTGGGCTAATGAATATAATCCTTTAGTGGCATTTAGCAATTGGAAACATAACAAAACTGACACTAAAGGATTATATTCATCATCAGTATGGGGATGAGGCAGTTAAGTGTGTACGTCAGCTTAGTAAACTAGAAGGGAAATATATTCAAGTGTGTAATAACTTAACTTTTCTTATGAGATGTAGAGACAGTGACATTGTGAATTGTTTATCTCTTCTAATCATTAGTAATAAGTATGGTTTCACATTGTACATATATATAGACCCTCAAGTTTACTAAATGTCATTGTGCTTGATAACGATAAGAGAATACTTATCGAAACGTTGTGCTTGTGTATAATAAACCAGTGATTGTTGTCCCATATAACTGTGTCAGTTTTGGGCTAATGAAGATGGGCTTAGAGCACATATTGTGCCAAGAGGGAATTATTCACTACCGCTTACTCTTACTAAGAATTCCAAATGTCAAGGGTTCTTTTATGTGCACGCCAATGTGTAATGGGACCTTGGCCTACAAAACCATATAACATGTAGGCTATATAGAAATCAAAATATTAAATCAAATAAAGAAGCAAAGTGTTTATTAATCAATTCCCTTTTCAATCTTACACAGTGTCTGAATCATGACAAATGATAGAGCATGTATACTCTTATTGATGACCCCATATTACTTCCTTTATTGCAGAAGTGCACATACAGGTAACTGAACACTTTTACTGTACTTTTTGTATTCTTTAGAATATGCATATTTACTTGTTAACTCTATTGTTGTGTCTGTTACTCTACCTGAAATGCTTTAGATCCTATTAACATACTCAACCAGCCTGGTAAACAAACATCTTCTACTTGTAATGGTATAATTTCTTTTCTATGTTCACAATAATATACCTGCTCATAAAAAAACCCAAAAACAAATGTGGTATTATATATTTTGTGTCAGAGGTGTTTATGGAATTGTTTGATAACCACCGCAGGATTTATAAATAATCATACGGAGAAAGCTAGAAGACTTTTTTTATTATTAAAGATACATTCCCACAAAAGTACTTACTGGTTACCGTAGTTACTTTTTCCAATAAAGATACATTCCCACAAAAGTAGTTATTGGTTAGTTACTTTTTCCAATAAATATATGGCATATTTAGTATATATGTAAAGTTTTCTTAATTGATATATTAACCTGTTGCTGACATGTCCGAGATGAAGCAAATTGTTTACACAAAATAACCATAACTACATCTGCTTGATCAGCTTTTTCCTGAAAACACTGGATATACTCATTATCAACTTCTGTTACACCATTTTTACTATATTCATTACCTACATTATAAAAAAAAAAAAAAAAAAAAAAAAAAAAATATATAATATGTATACTGGTAATACATGTCGGGATAGAGAATTAAATATGCAGTGCAGTAGTTAATTTTGCTATGCAGAAATTTGTCATTTAATTTGGAATGATAAGATAATTTTTGTTTGGGTAAACAACTGTACTATTCAAACCAGTCTTGGCCGTTTAGTTTAAATTGAGAAGGAATAAAAGCATGTTCATCAATTTAAATTATGAGCTTTAAAAAAATGAAAATAACGTCTTAAAGTTTTGCTCCGACTGTGGTAATCAAGACAGGCATACGCAATACAGTGTGCTATGAGGGAAATTTGACCTGACAGCGGCGCTACGGCCTACTCTTATATCGAATTCCAACTGCCAAGGGATCTTTTACGTTTACGCCAATGTGTACACGGGACCTCAGTTTTTCATCCCATCCAAACAACTAGACAGCTATCCTTGTCAGACCCTCCGTCCTGCACCACTGACAAGGGAAAAACACGCTGGAAAAACCTGATGAATTTTCTCGGCCAACACCGGGATCTAACATGTGACCTCCAGGCTAGCGAGCCAGCGTCTTACACACTTAGCCACCGTGGCACTTCTAACTCTAAGAAGATGAAAAAAATTAGTACTTTTTCTTAAACAGTTGATAGATGTCTCATAAACGGACCTAATCTAAATAACATATGTTCATTGTTACGCTAAACTTAACAATTTTTAATAAATTGGTAAGAAAAATAGCCTTGCTGATTTTTAGCCTACTGTCGTTGCTTTGACAACAACAAATATTGATATAGACAAAATAATAGCCATTGTGTATATGGTAATTGGCTTATTGGAATTGATGTCTCAATCCATCAGTTTACAATGAATTATTTATAATATTTATACTCATGCAACATACTTGTATTAAATTGCTGTGCCATTATCAAACCTGTTTGTGGTAAATGTGTATTACATACTGTTGTCATGTTAGTAAATATATATATATAAACTAGGTTAAAATTACTGTTGTCTTATTTGTAAATATTATTTGTCATATTATTATAAATTTATGTACATGTTTATATTGTATGCTGTCCTCAATGGATGTTTGGATACAATAAAAAATCCTTATCTTATCTTACGGCTTATGAGAATCTCTGTATGACCTTTGACACTGTACATGTATATAAATTTAGATTTTGACTATATTTGTTTTACCTGAGGCAGAAACAATATAGACCGGAATGATCAAGTCTGTAAGAAAAATATTATCTTACTGTCCTGACTTGCTGGTAGAGTATCTGAATCATCTATAGAAATGTCTCTATCAGTAGAACACCAAACATCATAACCTTCATTATTCAACCATTTCTTTATCTCTCCAGCCTACAATTATATATAAGGACTAGTTTACCATCAAAGTTAAATCAGGACTAGTTTACCATCAAATCTAGTTAAATTTTGACAGTTTTTATATAAAGGATAAGACATGCAATAATATATATAAATTTCTTTCACTTAGAAAACTGCTCAGCAAAATACAAGATACCAGTTTAACCCTAAATACTCTATCTGTGAGTCCACTGTCTAAATATGCTATTATAGGTTCTGTATTAACTTACAAATATAATCTGACATGGATGAACACATATCACAACAGATGGTCTTCTACTTTCAGATATTGTACTCTCTTCAGATACTTGAGATACAACACCATTAGGTAATTTTCCACAAAATGTCTTCATCAGGGTTTTCTGCAAAAATATTTTTAATTGAACTGTATCAGGTTATCAGTTAGAATAAAGAAACTACTACCATAAATTTAAATTTGAGAATATTACGTTTTAGAATCATGTCTTTATGTTTGATATAGTTTCTCAGTAATAACTGATATTTTCATTATACTCTAACCAACATATATTTCAAGAACATAATTTTTGTATATCAACAATTTTTATAGAATTAATAACCTACCCTCCTTTTTAGAGATGGCAATCGTTCTAATTCATTATCTACAATTTGATGTAATCTATCTGCTATAGATTCAGCAACTAGGGTTATATGTTTGGTATCCCAGTAACGGATATCTTTAGCATAACATTCTCCATATACTGCAATATCTAAAAAAAAAAATTAAAATTACTCAAAATAGAGATTGAGAAATTGGGTTTAAAATCCGTTAAACATAAGTCGCAAAGGCAATGAAACATAAGCCAATAACATTAAATTTCAAAAAGTTTGAAAATCAATAGGATTCTTTGTTTCAGTGAGATAGACCAGCGACACCAATTTCAACCAGATATATGGGTTATAGTAGGTCCTTTTAGGACTAAAATATGGTTTATCTTTATGTAAATAATTCACTTGTGTGCACAGGTCTTTGGCAGTGAGAAAATCAACAAAGCATTCCTACTCATTGTCAGGTATAAGTATGGATTTGAAACAATGCCACTTGCATCAACGACACACCTGAAGTATTAGACAACTCACTCAGCCAATCCCACAATAATTAACTATATTGCTGACCACATCCACCAATATAAAAAAACATTATTGTCAATGTTAAGTGAAGATTCACGTTGATATAAAAGCTATTCAGTACACACAAATAGATATCAGTGTAGTATAATTTATAACTTATACCTGTAGAAATTTGAGTTGGTGTTTTCCATCCTATATACTGAGTTGTAGCAAACTGTATAGCTAAACAACGTGGTGGCCAATGTTCCAGGAAATTGATTGGTAATATATATTTACCTAATACATCAGCTAATTTGATCTTTAAGAAAGAATAAAAAAAAAAATGTTTGAAATGTCTAGTGTTTTGTAGACTGAGTATCCTGAAGATCAACCATTATAACAGCCAGTCGTTTAAGACATCACTTATCGACTTCATGTTGCATAAAAAAAAAATAGTAATCCTCATCACATTGGTTAAAACAACCTCTGCTCTGGAGACTAGTCTGGTTCTATGTATGTTGTTAGATTGTTCTACAACATTGCCAATACATAATTCAATTTACAGTACAACAGTTATAAAAATACAATTCCCATACTTTAAGGTCCTAACATTATTGGTGACAAAGAAGAACATATATATTGATTTACTGTTCCTAGTCACTAGCCAGGACATACTTTCTAGAAACCACTTCTATAATATGAGCATTCTGAATTCTATAGAATTTAGCTTAAGTTGTTGGCTTCTGTAGCCTTGTTCCTAGTAAACAATATACAGATATAACCTTTTACCTTAGCATATTGTTACTTTTTTAAGTGTTCCAAAAAGTCGCTTCCCATTAAGGAGATATGAGTAAACTGCTTAATATTTTTTTTACGAGATGTGGAGATTTGCATATTTCATAATCTTATACAGGCTTGATAAGACAGACTATTTGTTATAATGACCGATATATACTATAGTCTAGAATAGGGTTCTTAATCTATTTTGAATGAGACCGGCCAAATGAGGTCAATTATAAGCTCCCTTCCCCTTTAATATAACCAGACTTCAACAAAAATAATTCTTGGTAATCTATGGAGAATGTTGTATTCTGAACAGGCTAATATATGTAATTACAACAAAAAATAACGACAAGGTCTTTGTTTATTCGATTAATAAAGAGAGATGTTTGTAATGAAATACATCAATCGAAATTAGGATTTTTCTACTAAAGTCAGTATCAGAAAATGCTGTAGCCAAAATAAGCTGATACGACACCATAGAATTTCTTCATATTTAACACAATAATGTTGTTTTTTGTCTATCACGTAAATTGCAAAGTTTTTATTCATTCGTAGATCATGATAGACAAATGGCACAATGATCATGTGACAATCGTAACTGAAATTGCTTTATAAAATAAAATTCTGTACAACTATGCCATGGCCTTCAATAATAAGGACAATATGGTTAAATTCAAGCCTCTGTCAGCATGTGTATAAAATAAAAAAATAAACACTATTTGAAACTAAATCTAGCATCGATCTAATTATTTACCCAATTGCAACCAATGCATGTCACATGTCATCGTAATTCTGCATTGGAGATTCTTTCTTGGGATATTCGGTGCTCTAACAGGGCATTATTCAATGACTATTTAAATTTAACTAACAACTAGTCAGTGAAACAATCAAATATGTGATCCAATTATTATTTTAATATATACCTGGGATTTGTACAGCATGAATCCCAAGATTCACAATCCATGCCAAGATAGTCTTTATTCGCCATGTGGCTTATTTTCACAAAGGCAACTTACTGGACCTGTTATGAATAATGTTTTTTTTTTAAAGGATTATCAATACTACCTCTCTATTTGTCCACTGTGTTTCACCATATTGTGGTGTTATCAATGGTAGGAATATCTGACAATTACTAACAGCATAATTTAATGAATCTTGCCAATCAACGCCAGATTTAATTTCATCAACATCCTAAAATACAGTAGATTCATAATTTAAAGTAGCTAAGTCTCTAACTCAATATCATCCAAAATTTTCGACATTGAAAACACGCATTATTTGTCAATTTAAATCAACATTGATGTTGTGATCTTACGGGGAAAAGATGGGCTTCTGATATTCAATAATTAAGACAAAATAAACATTTTACCGTTGGTACACGAATTGTGTACCATGGTTCGTGTACCATGGTGCATTTCAGCGCCATTTTTAACGAGGGACTCGTAGAAAGAGGCTAGATATATTCCACAAGTCATGTCAAACGGTTACGTCATATTCTTATCTGGAGAGCATGCGCAATAAATACTATTGGTATAGAGTGGAATAACCAGACGCTAGAGATTACCATTGGATTGAGACTTCTGGCGTATTTCACCGAACATAACTGATTAGAAATTGCAGTAAAAACAGAAACGATTGAATGTAAATCAGTTTATATACATTCGCATTACATTATTATATACGTTGCGACCCATTTGTGTCAATTTCTAGATCCAAAATATTAGCTCCTTTAAATCAGGCATTTTTGCAAACTAGTGAGAGAGAAAAGATCTAACATGTTATATATCTTTATTTCAACCCACGAGGTTGGACTTATACTTTTAGGTTAAAGTTTCAAAACAAATACATACCAAATAAACACTAAATCCAAGGGTAGATAACTCATTCTTCAGATTGAGGGCATGCTCTGCAGCTTCAGCTCGCACATAACTAATTAACAGTTGTTTAGATTGTAAGCTTACATCATTACAGCTAACTTCACTAGAACTTGAGGGTCTATTGATGTCTTTACTTGTACAAAATGTCAACTCACGCATTCTGTAATAAAAATATAATAATACATTTCCAATACCATTAATGGTATAAATTCAATACAGAAATATCTAACCTGTATTGGCGCAATTGAATGGTAAACCTATACAAATATTTGAAGAGATCTTGCTACAATCCCTTGGTCACCAACACCCTGAACGACATTAGGCCTTCATATTATCCTCCCAGGCAATTACACCCATTTATGGTGTTTTAGATCATACTGAATTAAGAGGTCAATAGATCTTTGTAGCCAAATTTTATAAAAAACTAGAGCATCGCTAACGCTGCAATATACGTCCACATTCCTGCTTTCATTGATATGGCACTTTTTAAAATGAAGAGAATGAAATATGAAATGGCTGCAATGACTGTAATATGACAAGAGGCAAAGAAGGCTAGGCGTTGGGTTTGTTTTGCCAAACATGGGTGTGACACCGCCCAAGGGGTCTGGGCATGCACAAATTTAGATAGTTGCTGTCTTTACGGTATAAGGAATAAATATGCAAAGTTCCAAGATGATCCATTCAGAATTGCAGCCTGTAGATGATAAATACAAAAATTGGGCGTGGCTCTTACCCTGGAGGTTGGATATGGAACAATATAAATAGGTACCACCCTGTTATTGAAATGATTGATATGCTGAATTTGAACAAAATCTGTTAATTATAGCAACCTGTAGTGGGTGTGGTACAACACCCCTGGGGGTCAGCACATGTACCAAAATAAATAGTTGCTATCCTTACAGGAATAAATATGCCATGTTCCGAGATGATACATTCTGGATTCCAGCTCGTAGACAAAAAACACAAAAATTGGGCATGGCTCTGCCCCTGGGGGTCAGGACATGCAGCAAAATCAATAGTTGCTGTCCTTAGGCTATAAGGAATATGCCAACTTCCAAGATGATCCATTAAGAATTGTGGCCTGTAGCCAACACACAAAGAAAAAATGGGTGTGGCTCAGTCCCTGGGGGTCGAGCATTCATCAAAAAAACAATAGGGATCATCCTTAGGGTATAAAGAATAGGTATGCAAGACGCTCGATTGGCAAACTGTGCCGAAATCATCTTCTTTCACAACGTGGCTTATTTTTACAAAAGCAGCTTACTGAACCTGTTATGAATAATCAACAATTAGTTTGTTTTGTTTTTTAACCGGATTATCAAAATTACCGTTAAATGTGCTAATTAGGCTACTCGGATTACAAACCACATGGCCGATTCTCACTATGGTATCACTGTTGTTGTAGTCGACAAGCAAGCAGATTGACTTCTTAATTAACAAGTAATAATTAACCCATTGTAATTTAGCCAAAAGTAGATTGATTTATGACATCATAGTGGCTGGTTCATTGTTTTACCGATTGGCTAGATCAAACATCAATCGCCTAAAGCCGACAAAAAACAGTATATTAAAAACATGCCGAGATGGTCTTCTTTCACCACATAGCTTATTTTCAAAAAGTAAAGGCAACTTACTGAACCTGGTATGAATAATCAACCACCCTTTTTTTTTTTAACCAGATTATCAAAATTACCGTTAAATGTGCTAATTACTTGGATAATGAACCACATGGTGGATTCTCACTAAGATAACTGTCGCCGACAAGCAAGTTGATTGACTTCTTAATTAATAAGTAATAATTAACCTGTTGTTATTTGCCTAATGTATATTGATTTATGATACCATCGTGGCCGGTTCATTGTTTTACCATCGGCTAGATTACACATCAATTGACTAAAGCTGACAAAAAACAGCTGATTAAGAACAGTGCTTTGTGCATTCCGACATATTTTGCCAGTACTCGTCAAATTTATGATATTGACTGATAATGAAAAGTTTATCACTTGTAAGATGATTAGTTTCACATGGATGTAAACGAATATTATTAAAATAAAATTAAAGAATCCCTGCTCAACAAGATCCTCTACTTCTACAAGTCTGGTGTGGTTTTCTGTTGAGCGGGGATTCTTTAATTTTATTTTTCTACTCCACCCCGCCGGTATCTCCACGCAGATGTACCAGCCTGTCCAGCTTTAATTACTGTCTAAGGGAGTGTTGCCGTACCCTTTTCCAGTTTCTAATTAATTAAAATACTAACCTTTTCATTTTCTTTTTGGGTGGCATTTTCAGTGATTCTGATGTCACAGAAGACATTTTATAATTTAAATCAGATGAAATGAGATTTTCTACTTGAATCATATCACTGGCAATAGTAACACAGTGATTGTTTATAACTTCCATTACAACAGTTTTATCTTCTAGTTCTCTTCTAACAGGCCAACCATTAGCATCCAGAAACACATAATTATCATTTAATTCATTTAACATCACTATCTGAAACATAATGTAGAGAAGGCATCAAAGTTCTTTTTCTCCAAATTTCATTGATAAATATTCATAACAGAAATGAATCATTGCTGCTTATGATTCAACTTTTAAATCAGCACAGTAATGGGCCATTTATACTGAGGGCAACTGCAACCTCAAATGGCACCAGTGACCACTGTGACCTTTTCCATAAGTCATCTTCGTACGGAAAGCAGCGATACACAGAAACTCGAATGATGAAACTAGCACATGGATGTTTTGACCATGCATGCCTTTTGACCTTCAGTCATTCCACGTCAATTAGACCAGCGGGGGAACCCACCGTCATCAATTTCACTCATAATTTTTTCATGGAAGTTTCACCTTATGAAACCTCTCGATCCAAAATATTTTCCAAAATTCCGACTATTAAAGAATTTGCAGACATTTTTCCGAAGTGAGTGTTTCGAAACTGGTGCACCCACAAAAATGAAAATATGTCAATAATTTCCAAATTACTTGAAGTATCAAGCTGAAATTTGATAATTATATGTAAACCTTTACGCTGATTCCAAATATAGTCTCAAATCAGAGATCTGATTTTTTGTTCAGTGCGCATGCATGGAAATATCATATTTTGAAGCTATTTTTTAAACTAACCAAAAATCGATGTGGGACTAAATGGATTCGGCTGAATTTTTTATTACTGGTTAATAAATAGGTGTACTATAACATATCATAAATTCAAGAGGGTGTTTTTTCTCGATTTCGAATTAAAAATATTTGAACTGGTTAACTCTGAATAAACGTCGAAAAGGATATTCAGCATACATTAGGGTGACCCGTGCACCCAAAATTTTCTGTACAGAAAGTTGGTCTCGACACGGCGAATGTACACATTTCAGTGGCTTATCTCGAACCGATTTCTCTCCCACTACGCACTATGATAATATTCAGCGGTAGAGCCTATGATACTATAAATAACCATCGCACGTGCAATTCTTTACACATCTATCAACTATTACAGCCGTAAAAAATCTATTGTTGACGATCCTGAATAGCAGTAATATTTAGCTTATTATTTACTTTCGTTTTATTTTTTAAATTGCTTTATCATTAACTGTACAATTAGGAGCGGCATCTTTTGGTTTAGTACAAATAATATCTCTGAAATACTAGCGGTAGTTTCATTTTACTTTTACAAGGTTCTTAAAACAATTGTTGAGTTGCCCAACGTGCATGTTTCTAAATTCAGTTTATTGTTCAAGCTTTCTGTTATGTTTCGTAAAATAGTAGTCTTGATTATCCCGGCCTGTTAATCAAACGTAGAATGGTCGGTAGACTGGTTAAGCTAAACTGCTTTCAAAACAAGGGCACGTAACCTATTTTATACTCACATGTGCTCGGATGTTATGGCCGACACTCAGAACCATCTTTCAGTGTATTATTTATGGATGATTAAATGGTCATAGCTTATTAAGTACAACATGACCGTTTATTTAGTGATTATAAATGTTTGAAACTGATTTAAGTCTTGGTGTATAAATAGATACTGTGTGTAATTGTCGAGATATTTGGAGATATTTATTTATGGTGGGGCACCCTACATACATGTTCAATTCTCATGAAAACTGTCTGCAAAATGTTTAATAGTCAGAATTTTTTGAATATGAGCGAAATCGATGATGGTTGGTTCCCCTGCTGGTCAAATTGATGTGGAATGACACCCTTGCACTCTGCATTCAGTATAAACAGGCCTTACCTCTTCAGAGACTAAAGATCTCATTTGATGAAGTTTTTTGTTTAAATCAACAAAAACAAAACCTAACACAAGGCCTGACCTTGTTTTAATTCCAATTTTAGGCAGATCTAAAAAAAATAAATTAAGAAACAAAATCATTAGTAAATATAGTTTTAGCGGTAATTCAAATGACCAAAAATGAAGCAAATGAAAAAAGAAATATAAATTGAAGAAGATATTTTGATGGTCCTGAGAAGTGGCAGATATTGTACTCTCAAGGAATTTACGAAGATTAAGGCCAAACACAACATCACAAAATATGCGAGAAAGAATATTAAAATTTGATATACATGTTGTAATGCATGGTGAAGACTCATTATAGTTAAAACTAAAACCAGACCAGTACATTTTATCATTTAATTCTCACCATATTTATGTTTGATGTACACAACATTGTCTTCTGAAGAAACAGTTGATATCTTTATCATAGATTCTTGAGATTCTAATATTGGCCATCTAAAATACAAAATATGATTAAAACATAAAATTAGTAAATGATCAAAACACTACTACCACTAGTTGTTTTGGACAGTTTCATAAAACAGAAAAAGCATTCGGCCAACAGCTGTTAAAATAATGCGAGTTGTTTTTAAATGTTGTCTTATTCTTATAGATTGTTTGAAAAAATCAGTCGAAAAACTGGCTCACATTGGCAATAGTTCCACAGTCCTTAAATAATTTATGCACACCTAGGACTTACTCTTATGTGTGGTCAAACAATCTGAACAACAACAATTTCACAAAAATCCAATAATAATCGGCCACAGAAGAATAACAGCAATACATCATATCTTCTAGTTTCAAGCAGATATAAATCTATTTACCTTTGTTTGGTACAAAAAATAAACTTTGATGGCAGACTGGGAATGCAGGAATTTAATTCTTTTCTTAAATGTGTCAATGGTAAAGATCTGTCTGTTTTCTTTGCCAGAGGAATAACACCTAAACTAAGGGTTGATTCAACTAACACTGAAAGAAGTTCAACTCCAACCAACAAAGGTTCATCTCCATCATCTGAAAATGGCAAGCACCGAATTCAAAATAATTTGAAGCATTTGCTATAGATGACACATAATTAAGTACACATTTATCTTGATATAATGAATCTACACTCTGAGTTTCATCACTCACCCAATTAGAACCAAAGTTATCATGTTCCAAAATCTCAACCAATCAAATTGCTTATCTCTGCTTAGCATTAGTGGAAAAGGCGCATGATCAAACAGTGTCAAGGCATTCGCCTAATAAACACCTGCACCAAGTTCGAACATTCTACCTAAATTAGGAGAGTTATTGTGTTCCGAAGTTTTGAGCAATCAGACTGGAGTCTCTGCTTAGCCTGAACAGAAAATGCTCATCATCGAACTTAGTCAAGGTATTGATGTAATGAAACTGGGACACGAAGTTTCACCACTCTCAATGCAAAGTTATCGAGCTCCAAAATCTCGACCAATCAAATTGTTTATCGCTCTGCTTACCCTGAGCAGTAAGTGTTCATTATCGAACTTAGTCAAGATATTAATATAATGAAATTATAGACCCCCTAGCTACCTACACTAATTTTCAACACTTGTTTAATTAGAACCAAAGTTATCATGTCCAAAGCATCAATCAATCAAATTGCTTATCTCCGCTTAGCATAAGCAGAAAATACTCATCTTCGAACTCCATCAAGGCTAGATAACAAACCTCATCTCCCAGCCCTCCGTGTTTCGAGATAAGAGATGGTGCTATATAGTTCAATGTAGAAAAGCCCAACACAAATCATATTGGGCCTCAATAAGCAAAATTGACCATGTTTTTCATTAAAACAAAGATCGATTATTATTATTTATAATATTTCTGACACATCGAGGTATTAAGCTTTTACTTATAGGAACACCATTCTTAAACGGGATGCCCTGAATGTCGGATGAAAAGAACACTTCATTAATACGCAAATATTTGGAGTTAAACGATAGTTGTGCCACTACATTGGCCTCTGTAAGATTAATTAATCATAATAGTATAAAATTATCTTATTTTTAAGATGTTACATGCATTAATAAAGAAATTGAGTTTGCCACTTGGGCACTTAAAACTAAAAGGCACCCAATCGTAGCTAAAAACAAGCACCATCAGTATATCTCAACGTTTTTAGCTACGTTCTCCTAGCTACATCAAGGCATCTAGCTAATAAACACCTACACCAAGTTTGAACATGCTAACTCAATGAAGATGTCCCTTTGAAAAGTTGTTATTTATGTCCCTTCTCTTGCTTTGAAATGTGGGACTACTGATGTGATTAGGCCTAATATGTGATGAAGATGAAAACGTTATAACCAACTGTGGGACAATTGTAATCCACTCTAACGACTTATTTTATAGCTTTGCCCATGGACCTTATAATATCATAAGGTCCATGCGTTGACCGTTTACGATTTCTGTCTTTTTTTTAAACTTTTTTTTCGTTTTTCCCACCTTCTTCAGCCATCTTGCTTGAATGACGTATGTTCAGGTCTTCTAGAAGTTTCGTACGATTTATTGGCCCATATCTTTGTCAGTTTTATCAATAGAAATAGAGTGAATGCTTCATTCAGAACAATGAGAAGTAAATAACTGTCAAAGACTGATATGAAAAAGATTGAAGTCCAAATTGGTACGAACTAACTTTAAAACAAATACTGGGGTTGTGGGGTTTTGGTGCGAAACATCCCGGATGTTTTATCCGGAGTTGATTTTCTTTTTCCGTCAAAGTTGTTTATGATTTCGAAATCTTGGCTTTTACGCTGAAAGGATATCAATTTGTTTTGGTACGCTATTGGGGTTACTTCTTTTCAGCTGTCACTATCGTGGCCTCAAATCCTAAACCATAATGAGTTATTCTTTGAAATATTTGATAGTGACGATAAGTTCGCAAAGTCAGATTTTGGTCATTGTTTGCCAAAGTCAGTAGGCCTAGTGCTAGTCAGTAGGCCCTATGCGGGCCTATGTAACATGGTGAATAAACTGACAGTGATGTGAAACCGACACTCTCGGTCTCATTGGGTATGCTTAGCGCAGATTTCACTTTGCGGATAGATATTACCCCAGTGCATGTGTGAATCTCCAATATGATCCGTTGACTAATCTGAGCGTGCAATTTCATGGATTACCGCGATGATAATCTGCCTAATCCTTCACCTTATTCATCATGGGTCACTTTCTATAAAAAATCTATCAACTGTTTGTTATAAATGTATGTATTTCAATTATAAAAAAAAAAAGCACTGAAGTTTACAGTAGGCCTATAGGCTACAACAAATATTTTTGGACATTCAGTCATGTAGCCTACTCACGTAGGGTTAGCTAATCAGTTGACGTATGTGATAGCGAAGATTATCTGCGAACTCGAATTCAAATCTTATTCTTAGCACATATGCTAATTCTGCAGTGATTTTGAAAATTATTTGAAAAATCATTACTTGTTACAGTACAAAGTTGATAGAGGATAGATCATACACCCTACTTTCATCTTTAAAAACATTGAGGAGTAATCAACACAAGGTTGACAATCTGTGCACCAGTTTGATACGTGCAGATTACAGTCGGTGCACACAGGGTCTAATCTGCGCGGACAGAGTGGACTATGCACAACACTGCCATGCAGATTGCAATCTGTCCGAGGGGTGAAAAATAGAAAAAGCTTACATGGTCAGATTTTGATCATTGTTGGCCAAGGTCTGTAGTCAGTGACAATCAAAAAGAGTATGCATCAAAATACTTGGGTCAAGTGAACAACAAAAAATCCATGTTCTCACAACAGCCCATCTTATATTTGTGTTCCCACTTACAGATTTTACAATCAGGAATAAACAAACCACATGCCATACTTTCTTAGTCTACATGTATTTTATTCATGGAAGAATTTTAGAACTATTATATTATATTATAGGAGCTGGCTATTTATATCGATGATCGATATCTTAGTTTACAAGATACGCAATTTCTAGACTTTGTTGAGGCAGATATCCAAGAATTTCTGCAGTGTGCAACACAAACAAGGTAATTATTGCAGATATACTACTTTTTTATATGATAAACTTCACTACACTATATATATTAAAATCAGGTGTAGTTTTCATTCTGTTGATTTAGTTTATCACTCCTTTAAAGTTGGGGGGGGGGTTGGATAGCCGAATGGTTAGCTGTATCGTAAGGTGCGTGCTGTATCATAAGGTCTGTCATTGGGGCAACTGGCGTGGTTTTGATTCCCCGGTTGTACGTGGCAAGGAGTAGGGTCGCCTGTCCAACCTAGTGGGTTTTCTACAGATCCCCCGGTTTCCTCCCACTGCTAAAGACCCCTACGTGCAAGCCAAATGTTGAAATAAAATTGAACCATGTGTTAGTCCCAAAATGACCTAGTTTGTGTTGGGTGGACTTACCCCCCCCCCCCCCCTCTCTCCTTTAAAGTTTCTATAGTTATTTGAGATATTGAGTAATCACTAGCAAACTACAAGGAGGGTTGGATGGCCGAATGGTTAGCACACGCGCACTGTATCATACGGTCGGTCATTGAGTCAACTGGCAGGGTTTCGATTCCCCAGTTGTTCGTGAAAAGGAGTAGGGTCGCCTGTCCAACCTCGTGGGTTTTCTCCGGGTCCTCCGGTTTCCATGTGTTAGTCCCGAAATGGCCTAGTTTGTGTCGAGTGGACGTTAAACCCCACTTCTCTCTCTCTCTCTTGCAAACTAGAATACATGTAATTGTGAAAGATGTCCAAAAACGGTTCTGTTCTGTTCAGTATTTAAAAAGATTCAGCATCTACCTACAGACGACATAAACTGGATACAGCACCTCCTGTAATCATTACCAGAATCTTTTGATGGGCCTCTATTCTATGCGATCGAATCCAAGGATATTTCGATTTTGTTTTCTTAATTAAATGTTAAATAATTAATTTGAGTACATTATCTAAAACATGTTTGAGGAAGGCACATTCTTGGCTTCAGACGACAGCATATAATGCCTTTGATCTTGGTTAGATATTCAGATTTACATTTAATAGAATTTTCATTGTCACAAGTTTTGATTTGTAGGCTTATCTGACTTCAGTCAACCACAATCTACTCATTACTGAAAGCTCCCTATAAGAAACGAAATATTGGTATAATTTTAATCGGTAGACTCTGCCCATAACCCATAAGTAAACATCCTGTCATTAGTTTTTCTTCAGGTCATACCAAGAATTGTAGACTCATTCAGTGGTCATTGCCATCAGTCAATGGTCTGCACAGATCATTATGGCAGCTCAATTGAAAATACAAAAATCTCTTATGCAATGTAGAAAAGCCGCTTTTATTGATATAAAACAATATGAAGGATTTGATTTTAATCGGGACTGTAAATATTATCATTTAATTTTTTTTGATTTTCAAAGTATTGTACTGGTATTATCTGTATAATAAGCTTAATCACGATGTTTATATTTTATATGTTTATATTATTTATAGAGTGTTAGTTTTTCCACCAGTTGATAGTTATCATCGTTTATTGATACATAAAGTTATTGAACCAAACAAATTACTTCGTAGTTTTTCCATTGGTGAAGGTGATAATAGACGAACTGTTGTTTGTTTACAACACGCTCTATTAAGGTAATAAAATTTCAAGTTAGTGTATATTGTTTGAGTCGTCTTTAGTTATACACCTTGACTTTAGAAAAATCCCATAGTGAACAATTGATTCCAGGCAGTGACAAATGAGCTATCCACAAGAAGAGATGAAGAAGAAGAGAAAAGAACAACAGTGATCAGACCCTAACAATCACCATGTGTGCCTTTCCAAAGACTTACAACGTTCTATACAAAAATTAATAATCACCTGGTTGTTTCATGCAAACCCTAAATTTTATTTACAGGGGGCGTAAAGGTCAAAAATTGATGTCCTCCCCATTTTCTTCTTACCCCACAGGTAAGGGAAGGGGGAGGGGCCAGCACTTAGATAGATCAAGTCCATCTCCATCAGGGCGAAGTTCAGAGACAAATGATGGAACTGTTAGAAAAAGCAAAGATGTTGAAAAACCACAGGAAAGTTCCAATGCTTCTGGGAATCGAAGAAGTAAAGGAGGAGCTGGAAGGTTTGATATTAATTTGGTTGATTTAAATTATCATAGATTATAAATATCTTTCATGGAAGACTACATCATTCTGAATTTCAGTAACGAAAACTACTGCACGAGACTGGGCAATATAAACATTATTCAAAACATGAAATTTGATATCTATCCAACTAATAAAAACCTTGCTTTAGCCATAATAGTAGACATTATGATATTATATTGTATTACTATGAAAATTTGTTTACCATAAAACCTAAGTGACCAACTGATTTTCAGAAAATTATAACAAGACATTGAAGGCATGATTAATCACAAAGTTATTTTATTTAAAATGTTTTAGTGGCATCTAAAAATAGCTTTACTCATGTTAATGTTGGTATGTTGGTCAAATGTCATCGGTCTCTTTTTTTATTGGGGTTTAAAAACAGTGATTTTAAGCTCTGTGTTGCCGTAGAACTAATGTTTCTTAAATAATTTTAGGGGAAGATCTAAAAGACCAGAAATGCAACTCTATGTTCCACGTGGTCGGCGAAATCCCAATGAAACATCGTCTAGTTCTGAAGGACAGCTGACTGAAAAAACAAACGAAAATTTAACAGATAACAAGCGGGTACCATCACCTGATGTGACAGAGAAACAACAGCCAAATACAGATGTAACTGACCAGCCCGAAGAGCAGAAATCGGATGTTCGTTATGGAAAAATTAGTAAAAAAACTCCAAAAGAAATTGAACGTTACGTCCCTAGAGCCAGACGTCAACAAGTAGAAGAACAGAAGCAAGAATGTGACTTGTCAGAAAAAAATAATATTTCTATGGATACAGACACAGTTTTGGGCACTGATACTACAGTACAGTATAGTCAAGTCAACCATAATACTCCTCAAATTTCTAAACATGTCTCCAAAAAGATTAAAATAGAGGATCCTGATATAATTGAAAAAGATGATGCAGGATGCTTGCCTGATCGAAGTGACATGAATATAGTGGAAGACAAAACATTAGCAGTTCAAGAAAATATGACGAGAGAACCTGATAGTGACAATATTGATAAATATCTTGTTCAGAATCCCCCCACTAATGTACATCAAACAGTTAACGTCGGCCAAACATTGAATACCAATATTTCTGATAACATATCAAGTCAAGTCTGCGAAAGGGAAAATACTTTAAATTCAAACTGTTTAGAAGAATATAATAAAGGCATGTTAGATAGGATTGAGCCATCTAATCCAGAATCGGAAGAAAATATCAGTCGAACAGAATTAGAGACTTGTAAAAAGAGTCTGTATAAACCCTTGGATGAAGATCTGTCTACAGAAAATAACTTGGAATCAAATGAACATTTTACTAATGATATTCCTATACTGCAGGAAGATGAAGAAAAAATTGAGATAGAAAAGGAATTAGATATTTCTGATGGTGCTAGCAGTAATATAGTATGTTTAATAGAAAATGATATACAGGCCGACTCTCTTCCATCTGTTGAAAAATTAAACAGTGATAATTTATCAGTAGATTTTCAACAAAAAAGTTTGTTAGAATCTCCTTTTTCAGAATGTGTAGAACATCCCCCAATTCTTGATGAAATAGAAAGTGATAAAACTGTTGAAAATAGTCAAGTGAATGATATTCCATCAATACCGGTAGAAACATTGAGTGATGCGAAAGGTGTTCAAGTAAATCATGAGGATGAAGATGAAGATGGTGATGATGATGATGATGAATCTTGGGATAAAATGTTTGATGATAATGGAGATTGTTTGGAGCCATCTTTAATGGATGAGGTAATAATAAACCAAGCCAAATCATAATGTATTATTAAAATCACCATTGCAACTTTGGTAACATTAGCAATGTCAAAATTTTAATTGATTTTAAATATTTAATCTATGCAGAGATGACTATGTGATCAAAGTATTCATAATGACCCAATGAACAATCTCTGTGATTTTGAAAATAAATCTGTAAAGAAGTCTGATCTGTAGTGTGGTCATAAGAAATTGTCGCTTGACTGATGGACGAAGGTAATGCCAGTATACTCCCAAATTAAATTTAGGTGACTACCGGGTATATAAAAAACCCAAGATATTGCTGCCAATCCCAAAATAGTAATTTACACATAATCATCCTAACACAAACATATTTTTTGTGGAAGAACATAATTTATATATCTTTAATGCTGAACTTCTGCATCGCACATAACAGCAACTTACTAACTAGAAACTCATAAATGAGGCAAAACACGTGCATTGTAATTATATAAGCCACAAAACACATATCAAAACTATCAAATCAAGGGACATGGATCAAAAGGGCTTGAATGAATGAATGAAATGGGGTTTAAGGTCCTTCATGTACTTATCTGCTCCAACCAGGCTAATGAAGACGTGCATATGCTATTTAGTGTGAATTTCAACTGTGTCAAGGTTTCTTTTACTTGCACACCAAGGTGTACACAGGACTTTTTTTGTGCCATCCGAATAACTAGATGCTGTTCTTTGTCAGGTCCTCAATCCTGAACTGGAAAATCAAGAGGAATTTTCTGGGCCAACACTGAGATCGAACCCTGGGACCCTAAGATGATCCTAAATGATTGTGAAATGATATAATCTTTACATTTTAGAATAATTCAGAAAACTAATAAATACATGTTAATGTTTTGTTGTTTCAGTTGACAGCTCATGTTGGTGAAGTACAGATTGAGAAACCCAAGATTAATTATTTGGCATACCAACCCAAAGATGTTGACCTTAGTTCTAGTGGTATACTTTACTTCATTAATGCACATAATGTTAGCATTTGTAACAATATAGGTACTTTCCCTATATATTATGGAGAATGTACCTGGTATTTGTTTAAACTAGCCTTTGTGGTAACTATTACTCATACATGATCAAGTCAAAACTATATCTTTAGTACATGAGGCAGAGTATGCATATATACCTTATGTAACACATTTCACCTTGTTGTCACTGCTTCTTTAATCCAAATCATTCTTTCTAGATCACCTAGTTCACAAATAATTATTTTATTTTTGTGTATTGTTGATATTTGTAACTGATCAATTAAACACATCTTACATTTTATCATTGAATTGAACATTTATTTACAAGAGAAGAAACACTCCTGAATAAAATTAAACTTCCATACATACTTGTACGTTGTCAGAAATATATACCAAGATTATTTTAATTTTTTGATCTCTTTCAGCTTTTGGTCATTTAATAGAAATATATGATTTTCCTGCCGATTTCCTTACAAGAGATCTCTTAACAACCTTCCAATGTTATATGTAAGTTTGAAAGATTTTTATTAGGATTAGATATTATCAAGAGATATAATTACAGCGGTCTTAATTTATTGGTATTAATCAATTGTTTAACATGTTTGCACAGCATGGGCATTGTGGGGGAAACAAGCAGATAATCTGGTGATGTCTAAAAAGTTATTTGTTTTTAAAAGAATATTAATAAATAGTCAGAATGGTTTAGAAATAATGCAAATTGTTAATGGCTGGTACAGATATTTCCCCACCCCCTCACTTAATGACAAAATTCAATTAAACGGAAAAGCATAACAGCCATGACTGCAGAAATACTTGTTTTGTTATGAATATTTTGAAATTTGAAATTGTATTATTGACAGGAATAAAGGGTTTGATATTAAATGGGTTGATGATACACATGCTATTGGTATATTTTCCAGTACTATAGCTGGTGAGTATATCAAGAAGTAACAGAACTTCTTTAGCAATAAAATGTTCCAATTTATGAGGTAAACATCAGTGCACTTTGTTTTTATTTGTTAAGGTATATTTCATGTGGAGAAAACTTTAAAGATTTTTTTTCTGTCTTTTAACAGCTCAAGATGCCTTGAAAATGAACCACCCATTACTAAAAGTTCGTCCAATAGAGATTGCTTCGAAACAGTCCAAACTGAAAGCTAAACGTACCACAGGTAAATAAACTAAATAGAGAAACTTGAAAACTAAGAGGTTAAAAGTTAAATACAGCATTTATTTTTGTCATTGACATAATAAAGTGCATTGTTGGCTTCTTTCATACTTTGAGTTTTGTATTAGGATGGAATGCTTAACATTATCTGTTTGCTAGCAAATGGATCCTTTATGAAATGACATTCTGACTGACGGATTAAAGAGCTTTGAGATTCTTTCTCTTTAACTCGAGAGAATCTCCTAAACATTAATAGTAACTTTTGTATTATTACAAGTTTGTGTGTGATAATTTGTTTTACTTGTGCTTGTTGTCTACATGTATGTTATATTCTTTGTATTAAAAGTGCAGCAGAGCAGTGAAACTGACTGAATGTTCAGCGCGCTAGAAAATGATTATTATTATTAACATTTCAGAATTTTTGAAACCATATAAGGAAAGACCTAAAACAACAGCTATGGCAGCCAGGAGACTGGTATCTGGTGCTCTAGGGTTGGCCTCTAAGGTTTCAAAAGAAAAAAGTGATAAAGAAAAAAGTCAACTAAGAGAAGCAAAAGGTAAAAACCTGTATTATGAACAAAATTATGAAATAATAGAAAATCATTAGACCGTTTGTTAATCTGCAAACTTAGTTATCCCATATTTTGATTTCTGTCATTTTGTTTTTCAGAAAAGAAACGAAATGATCGAAAGCTAAAGCAGGATGCCTGGGATGGTACTGTTGGAAAATGTGCTATGGATGATAGTTGAATATTACAAAGTAGATGATATATTGTGTTTTAAACATTTAAACCCAAATATCTACATCTTGTCTACATGTTTACTGGCCAAAATATTTACTAAATTGATTTTCTATTGAATATAATAATCTATAACAAGTTGGAATGGACTTTGTTTATTTACATTTTGATTGGCAATAATTTCATTTTCACATATAAATTTTCATGTTCATCAACACATTCTTATACGCCCACATGGAAATGTGGTTGTATATTGCCGTCCCCCCCACCCCTCGTCCGTTCGTCTGAAGGTCCATCCATCCATCGTCCACACTTTCTTGTGAACACCCTACAGAGTACAGACTACATTTAACATTTGATTGTTTTCAATTGATATATGTTGTTAACATTACTGATATGAAGAAGCCTATTTAATTTCAATAATTTCCATTAATTCTTCTGGAGTTATGGCCCTTGTTTCACCTCATTGCACCTTGTGAACGACAAAAATTATCATCCGATCTGTATGAAATTTGTATGCGTCCTTTCAATTAGTGAAACAAAGAATTCTATTGAATTTCAGCAATTTCCATTAATTACTACTAGAAGTCTGCCCCTTGTTTCACTTTGTCAAACCCTATGAATGCTCTGTATGAAATTTATATGCATTATTTAAATTAGTGAAAGGAAGAAGCCTATTAAATTTCTGTTAATTATGTCTAAGAGTTATGGCCCTTGTTGTACTTTGTCTAACCCTTTGAATGCTCTAACCATCTTACGACAAAAGTTATCATCTGATCTGTATGAAATTTATATGCATCCTTTAAATTAGTGAAACAAAGAAGCCTATGGAATTTCAGCAATTTCCATTAATTATGTCTAGAGTTATGGCCCTTGCTTCACTTTGTTGAACCTTGTGAATTACTTCCAGCGTTTGGGCCCTTGTTTCAGTTAGTAGAACCAGAACCTTTTGAACCCTCAAATGACGGAATTTATAATCTGATCTGTATGAAATGGTCTTGTAAATGCCCCCCCATTACCTACAAATGAATAAATATGTGACAACCCTTATCGACCACTCGGACTATTTAGCTGTTGTGGACATGTTTTGTTGCCTGGCAACCTATCTTATTTTTAGTGGATGAAAACTACTTATCATGTATTTGATTTCAATTTGAATTTTTACAAATGAAATCAGTAATTGTTTTTACATCAGTTAGATTTCTCAGTGAGTATTTATCTTATGACTGGCTATTTTAAACTGTATTAATTAGTCAGACGTAATAGGTATGAATATATACGAGGGCTGACTGAAAAGTTCTAAGCCTATCATTGAAAGACCTGTATAAAGTTGGTTTCCATTTATTTTTCTATATAGTCCGATTCAAGGTGTACACACTTTTACCAACGATGTTGCAAGACCTGGATGCTGGTCGGGAACAAATTTTCTTCAGCCACCTTTATAAAGTCCGTCACAGCTAACATGACGTCACCATTACTATTAAAATGACAACCGGCTAGTTCCTTTTTCCTTTTTGGAAACAGGTGGAAGTCTGACGGGCCCAAATCTGACCAAAAAATTATCAGGATCTGCTTCAAAACTGCGCAAATTGTCACAGGATGTCAGGAATCGGACACGTTTCTGATCTGCAGTCAAGAGCTTTGGCACCCATCTTGCAGAAATTTTTCTCATTCCTAACACATTGCTGATAATGTGCTCAATGATGGCCTTCCAGGATGCGAGTCATTGTCAAGGCTCTCTCTCTGCCACACTTAAATTCCGCAGCCAACTTCTTTACAGTAGAAAAGGAAGGGGCATCATGCCCTAAAGTGGAGACCATGTCGGCATGTATCTGTGTTGGGGTTAGTCCTTTCAGTGACAGGTACTTGATGACTGCCCTGTAGTCAGTTTTGTCTATTTCTGGTGATTTTACTTGTTGGTGGCCAAAATTTGTTTCAACTTTTGAGCCAGCTCTCGTATATATACAGTAGATAAAATAGGTGCTTTCTTGTTGCTGTCACCCTAACCTATTTTGTAGAATTTATGTTACTTTTGTTGTATTGTGGAAATATATAAATGTATAATCCTACATTTTGTTACATCTGTAGTACATAAATTTTAAGTCATTAAGAATTAAATGTAGCTTCAATTGACAATCAGTGGTACAAGAACAAGATGGTTGCCGTATTCTGGTTATATGACTTCGTAAATAATTATATTGAAAGTACTGCTGTTTCAAATGGCTGAAGGTTTAAAGATCCTTACATAAACTAGTCATCTCCAGGGACACTCTATTTGAGACTACTACAAGAGTGGTCAATATCAAAAATCATGTTGTCATCCAGTCTCATATTTCTCATAATTGTGAAGACTGGGGCCAGCCGAGCCAAGCCAGTCTAGGGTTACATGTGTTAAATTGAATAATGCCTCAAAAGTTAGTAGGTAAATTCATCTGCTGGCAACTAATCAGTGTATGACTGAACTATGAGATTATAAAAACGAACTAAGCTTGAAATTATGTTCTGCCGTCTCAGTATCTTTTGAGACTACTACAAGAGTGGTCAATATCAAAAATCATGTTGTCATCCAGTCTCATATTTCTCATAATTGTGAAGACTGGGGCCAGCCGAGCGAAGCCAGTCTAGGGTTACATGTGTTAAATTGAATAATGCCTCAAAAGTTAGTAGGTAAATTCATCTGCTGGCAACTAATCAGTGTATGACTGAACTATGAGATTATAAAAACGAACTAAGCTTGAAATTATGTTCTGCCGTCTCAGTATCTTTTGTTTACATACAGGTATGTGTGTGAATGTCATTAAAACCTTGAAATGTATATTAGTTTATTTGGGAAGCTATTTTGAGATTGTGAGATTTGTGTTTGAAAGATCAACATCTACTTTCATTTGTCATTAAATTATTATCAGCCTTAAGGTACTATCTATACAAAATATTTTAAGATTGGAAATATGATGAATTGATGTTCCTGTGTAATCTGTAAAACATAAAGTGTTTTTGTTTTTTCAAGAAATAGATATTGAAAATATGAATGGATGTTGGTGAAATTTATTTCTTGACCCTTTTTGTAATGTTATTTGTAGCTGATCCTCATTAAAATTTGATTTTCATTACCAGTAAAAGACAATATCATGCACTGAATGTTGCTATTAAAGTAATGTACTAACAGTTATCTCAATGCACATCTTTTATATTAAGAATATAATAGAAATGAAATTGAATATAATAGAAATGAAATTTTCAATTTAATTGTATTATTTGAGCTACATGTAAGAAAATTAATTTTGTAATTTATTTATTTAAAATAAAATCCCACTTTTGTCAGAATGCCTTATGTTTTATCCATCAAAATGATATTTTTGAATTGGGTACATGTCTAATACCGGTATGTGTTATTTTGATAAGAGAATGGGGCAAGTAATTACAGCTTGGTCTGGTTACCAATTTTTAAATTGTTTTTATATGCATTTATATTGTTGATTGTTGAAAACAATGTCAGCTATATCTATTTATTATCAAAGACATACAGTGTGCCATAACAGCAGCACCTGTTTTTTTTGTCCAATCTTAACGACTAGACCCTCTGTCCAGCTCCACCGATAGGGGGAACCTCACTTGAAATTCCCAGGAAACTTTCTCTGGTACTACCAGGATTGAACCCCATTTGGTTAGTGAGTCAGCGCCTTACTCATTGAACCACTGTGGCACCATTAAAAGCGTGAATGTAGAAAGATATTCTTCTCTCAAAATAAATTAAATGGTTAAATTAACTTTGTTTTACTCATATTAAAGAGTACTAGTACTAAATATAATTTTTAGTTGGAGAAATACATCTACAGTAGCAGAGTTTTAAGAGCAGTTCTTGAAGGTTGTACATTTTCAGTCGGCAATGAATTTCAGGACTGAATACTTTGAAAAATATATCCCATCAACTCAGAATCTTTTGTAAATTGATAAAAGACAAACTGATATTAACTATACCAATTTTGGAGGTTGTATATACAATAGTTGCTTCGCAAGAGACTCTGGAAATCCTGAGAAAAAAAGTGAATAGTTCATTTTTTCCACATTTTACCACCTGGTGGCATGAAGAGTGTGAATTGCACATTGCGTGTGATGCTAAATCCGTAATCTACACCAAAAGTTGTCTTAGATTACAAAGTTAGAGAGTTCGACTCCTAGTAGAAATGTGAGTTTAAAGCACCTGAAAACCTGAAGAAAATTACTGAATTTATGATCTGTTTCAGCACCCTAATTTCAAATGGCCATATCTCAGTGAGTTTTTGACCTAGAGAGGTATAATTTCGGATTTGTTATCTTAAGGCCAATACTATAACATAAATTTCATATATAACTTTCCGAAATTTGGTCCACTTGACATGGAATGACCCAACTAGGATGAAAATTGACCTCAACCACAATACCAAAAACAATATAGAACATCCTTAGGGTATAAAGAATAAGTATGCAAAGTTTCAAGACGATGCATTAAGAAATGTGGCCTGTGGTTTTCAGGTGTCTCGTGGTAGTGAAACTACATTACTGTACTTCAATTACTAACTTGATGTAATGATAAAGAAATTAACAGAACATAATTTCAAAAGGATATTAATAGAAAATGAGATAAGAACTATAAAAGCATGTGCCACAACCAGATATAGGAAGTTAAAGAAATGAATTTAAAATATGTTTATTTCATATTTCATACATTCTATACAAGTAAACAAGAGAAGCTATCCTAGCTAATGTATGTATACACATATTCCCAACTTGAGATAACACAGTAGAAGAGACTAGGTTCACTTTATCTATTATAGGTTTTTATTTTTTTCACTTTAACAAAACAATCAATCATCTACAGAAACAAAACAATCTCATCAAAATATTGTAGGATTTAAATCATCACAACCACTGGTTATTAGATATCCTCACTGGGAACAACATAATGTTGGTTTTAAATACCATGCACCAATATAGGTAAAGATTGATAGAGACTTATCAGACTCAAGCCTTATAAATATGCCCACCAGTGCTATCTCTAAAATCATTGTCAACAAATCCTGCAAGGTAAAATAACTCTTTCCCAGTCAAAAATGTTAACAATTTATTATTATAATCCAATAAATTTTGAAAGATGGGTTGCCAGGCAACGAAACATAAACCCACAGCGGCTAAGTCCCCTGTGAAGTCAACAAGAGTTGTTGCATATTTTTTCTTTTGTCGGTAATGAAATATTTATAATACACTAAAATTTTATTAAGAGTAACAACTCATTAAGTAATTATCAGAAAATCATTGGAATTTGTTTGGCTTCTAGTTCTATCCCATGCTAACGTTAGTATACAAAACATCTAACATTTAGCTGTTCAATTTCTCAAAAATCATTGAAAATCAATATACTTGTTCATCTCAAGACCTTGTATCAATCTAAAGTTAATGGAATGATCACTTTGGCATGTAGAGCATCCACAAGATATTTCAAAGTGATTAAGGGCCATAACTCTGGCAGTAATTATTGGAAATCGTCTCACGGCCTTTAACATTGTGTATAAATTTAAAGTCAATCAGATGTTAACTTGAACATCCACAAGATATTTCAAAATGATCTAGGGCCATAACTCTGGGAATAATTACAAAAATCGTTGAAAATCAATGGGTAGTTTCTTATCCTTGTACATCAATGAACAATACCACCAAATTTTTAAAAAATTCACAGGATTCCATAAATTTAAACATAAAAATGGGAATCACTGTAAGATTTGGAATCAAAAATTAGGATTCCTCCTTAAGCCTAAATGAACAATCTCAAAGTTATTCTTGAAAATACATGGAGAACTTTTACATTTTAATCTTGATAGGGGTCTTCCTTATGACTCAATGAATAATCCTTGCGAATTTGATAAAAATCTCTTATGAACACTTACCTGTAGAGTGGACACTATATATTGTGGTCGGACGGCCGACAAAGGTGACAACAATAAACACATTATATCTGGATGTAAAAAAGATAGTGATGTAATGCTTTATCAAGTTTGTGCAAACAACACTTAACTGAAACCAATAACCATGAATAATTAATAACAAGCCAACAGTGAGGCTGACATCCCCCGTCAAAATCCCAGAATAAATAGATGACATATTAATTAATCGCACATTTATTTTTTTACAAAAGTATCGAACAATCAAATTGATTATCAACTATACACTAAGTTTCATCACTCTCTATCAGATGAGATCAAAGTCAAAGAAATTGCTTAGCTCTGCTTAGCTTTAGCGGGAAATGTTAATCATTTAACTCAGTCAAGACATTCACCTTATGAACATCGACCAATTAAATTGCTTATCGCTCTGCTTACCCTGAGCAGAAAATGCTCATTATCGAACTTAGTCAAGGTATTGATGTAATAAAACTATACACCAAGTTTCATCACTCTCACTTAATAAAAACTAAAGTTACCATGTCCCAAAGCATCAACCAATCAAATTGCTTATCTCTGCTTACCGTAAGCAGACAATGCTCATCTTCAACAAACTCCATCTAGGCATCGACGTAATAAACACCTACACCAAGATTGAACAATCTAGCTCAATGAGAAGGAGAGTTATTGTGTCCCAAAAAGTGTGACAGACAGACAGATGGACCCATTTTAATAGTCCCCTGCTTTCTTCAAAAGGCGGGGGCCAAAAAATTTGATCAAAACAAGTATTATTAAAAATTAAGATAGTATTTTACCTCTTGTTGAATATTATTAGTGATCTGTATCATAATTTTTAGTACCCAACCTTGAAAATTCACGATTTTAAGATTACAAATGCGTTTTGTCTTTGCTTCTTTTGAATGACACAGTGCCATCATTGTATATCCGACTCCTTTATTTTCAAAATGTTTGACTCCCCCTAAATACAATACAGGTCAAATAGGATTACAGAATTGTCTCTATTCCTTTGATTTGTTCTCCCAAACCAAGCTTTGACATAATAAACACTATCTTCTACTATATGAGAAAGTACAGTATTTGACGTCCAATGTACGTCCAAGGAAACATCTAAAAAAAGAGATATCGATTTCATAAACAACAATGGCAGGATATACAAAAACTTAACAAAATACTATGTTTTAAAAAATAAACACAAACCAAATATAATCCAAATACTAAATTAAGAACAAATATTCTTCAGTTGTAAACAATAGTGTAGTTATAATTTATAGGCTTTGGATGGATAAATTCATGCATGACTAGGGTTTGCTCTTTACAGCTACTAAATGTCATTAAACTATAAAAACAGAAACAGGAGAGTCATGTTTTTAATCTTAAATGTGTGTAGCTCCACAACACATATACAGGGTTTGATCTAGGGCTTGCCTTTCTTTCCATAGACAAAATATTCAAGGGCCTAATATTCTTAATATGACATCTTAAATTGTTTAAAGTTTTTCATAATTACAATTACAAGTTAAGTTAATAGAAAATGACTGAGCTTTCAAACGAAATGCAATGAAATTGGGTTAAACATCCTACTGTTCTGTTCCGACTGGGATAATGAAGACAGGCTTTTAAAAGAAGTTTATCACTATTTGGAAGAGGTTGGATAACCTTTGCAGATAACATTAACACCGGTTTTATGAATAGATAAAATATCCATGTTTGTACAATTAATATACAAAATGATATCATGTGTACCTTTATCCCAATTCTGTAGCAAACCAGCCCTATTTGAAAAATCCTGGATCAAACCCTGAATACAAATCTAGCGGTCTTATTTGTCAAAAACATAAATCTCTGAAAATTGTTTATCATTATCTATTAAAGTCCTGATTGTAGGTTACAATAGATTAGAGATTTAGGTCTTCCTGAATAAGACTCTTTGCATGAAAACTAACAAACTGTAATTGAACTAAAGGTTTTTTCTCTTCAAAATCTTGTTGCAGATTTGTTGATCACAGGCAGATACAAGAAACTTTAATTGATAATCAAACCAAAAATTCAACTGGATAAAGGAATCTGTTAATCACTTTACTGAAATTTTAAAAATTTGTTCCAATCACAATAGTCTCTTTTCCTGGAAAGTTTGATACAGAGTATTCTGATGTTAATCAAACTGTTTATATTGCGAGTTTTGGAAATGTATCATACTTGTACTTGATGCTCACCCTAGTAGATAAATAAAAACCAATACCTGATTATATGATAACATACACATTTACCGGTTATTTTAAGTAGTAGTAGTAGAGATTTGATCAAGCTATAGATATTATTAACAAACATTACTAGCTGTTAATATATGCCAGATCACAGTCACTGATAATATTACACGTTCTTCACGTTTCCATAGTTATATATAGAAATAAAATAGTCTCAATCAGATCAAATAGAAACAACAAATAGTCATCACACATTAACAAATCTTTCTTCATAGTTGCACATAACGGGGTATATGTTTATATATTTGGAGAGATCTTTGGATGTAAATATTGTCACTGAAAAAGAAAAAGAAGATATAATAAATAACCTCTTTAAAGGGTGTATGACTATTTGTTGGAGAGAGAGAGAGAGAGAAATGGGGTTTAACGTCCACTCGACAAAAACTAGGTCATTTCGGGACTAACACATGGTTCAATTTTATTTCAATAATTCCCTTGCGCGCAGGGGTCTTTAGCAGCGGGAGGAAACTGGAGGACCTGGAGAAAACCCGTGAGGTTGGACATGCGACCCCACTCCTTGTCAAGTACAACCGGGGAATCCTATTTGTTGGAAAGTTGAAATAGACAAGTTAGGTTGCCAGGCAATGAAACATATGCCCACAGCAGCTAAATCGTCCGAGCGGTCGACAAGTGTTGTCACATATTTATTCTTTTGTAGATAATGGGGGGCATTATGGTTCTAAAAGCACATATTAATATAATATGAATGTATGTAAAGTGATTTATATTCAATTTTTAAAAAAAATATTGTAATTTCTAATCAATTATGTTCGGTAAAATACATGAACAGTTCAAATTGAACGGCAGTCGTTTACACCTGCTTTGTGCATTCTACACTTTTTTTTAAACTATCATTTTGTCGCTTGTGAATCAGCCTTTATTAATTACTTAAACATTGTGTTGTAGGATATGTTTTTATTTGTTTGTTACAAAATGGCACCTGAAACCATAGAGTACACGATTCGTGTACTGATTATAAAATGTTAAACATACATGTACATTATGCAAGAGCCGAGCAATTTGACTGAAATTTTCAGCATATTCGCTTTACATTATCTAGGTTTTAACTATTATTATTGTGAGAACTGCCAGCTCTTTATCTAATCTTCCATAATACCCCTTTAATTGTGTTTTAAATATTGGATATTAGGATCCTATAGTTTCACAGCAAGATAACATCAATATTGATTGAAACTGATCAATATTGTATTCTTATTCATGTTTTTAATTTTGAATATTATGGAAAATACTGAGTTAGAGACTTACCTCCTTTAAATTGACCATAAAAGTCAATTTTTTGATAATCTGCTGATAATGATATTCACCTACCTGTTGCCATGGTTTTTTATCCAACCCTTTGTGATCATTTATATGTTTATACCGACATTTGTCACCATATATACACCCAGTTGTTCTCCAAAAATAACACTCATCCCCATTTACCGGACCGCTTTGTTTGGGTAGGTTCCGTACCCTGAAAACATATCATTGTATACTCCAATATAAACATTTTATCTGTATAAAATCTTTTCAACATTTTTTAGATATAACTAATAAGCCTCATTTTATAACAAATTTTTATAAGGGGCCAACTACCTTCTCTTTTTTGCAGTTTACATCTGCTGTGTACATGATTCTGTAAAGAATACTGTAAGAAATGTCTTAATGCTCTCATGGTAGAGATTTTTTTTTTTTTTTAAACATATACAAAATTACATCATTTTACATTTGCTGTACAGTGAGCTAAAAATGAACAAGTCAACAGTGAGACTGATGCCCTCCGCCAAAATCCCCAAATAAATAGATGACACATATTAATTAATCGCACGTTTATTTTTTACAAAAGTATCAAGCAATCAAACTGATTATCAACTATACACTAAATTTCATCACTCTCTATCAGATAGAATCAAAGTCAAAGAAATTGCTTAGCTCTGCTTAGCTTTAGCAGGAAATGTTAATCATTAAACTCAGTCAAGACATTCACCTTATGAACATCGACATCAAGTTTAAACATTCCACCTCAATTAGAATGAGAGTTATTGTGTTCCAAAGTCTCGACCAATCAAATTGCTTATCGCTCTGCTTACCCTGAGCAGAAAATGCCCATTATGGAACTTAGTCAAGGTATTGATGTAATAAAACTATACACCAAGTTTGATCACTCTCACTTAATTAGAACTAAAGTTACCGTCCCAAAGCATCAACCAATCAAATTGCTTATCTCTGCTTACCCTAAGCAGAAAATGCTCATCTTCGAACTCCACCAAGGCATTGGCCTAATAAACACCTACACCAAGTTTGAACATTCTAGCTCAATTAGACAATTAGAAAGAGAGTTATTGTGTCCCAAAAAGTGTGACGGACAAACGGACGGACGAACCATTGTTAATATTCCCTTTCCTTCTTTGAAAGGCGGGTGACAAATATAGATTATGAGGCATGAGCAATAGGGTCTGTAACATAAAATTGTTACAATTTTTGCAAACAATTTTTTGTCAGGAATGTACACAATTGGAAAGTCATATTTCCTCAAGTATCTCAAAGAATTGTTGAAAATTAATAGTCCAGTATTTTTCCCCAATGCTGACAATGTAACACAATTCTAAAATGATCAGATTGTGTACAAAAGAATTGTAAAAGGCAGATGATTGACAGGAAAACAACAATATATGATAAAATTAAACCAGGGGCATAAAAGATAATGAAATTTGACTATAATGAAATTCAAATATGTTCTTTATTTCAGAATGAAATCAAAGGACAAAAAAACACTACAGGGAAAAACAAAAGATGTCAATAATGATATATTCTGAAAAGAAAATTTGTGTACATCTCTATTTATGATAATGTGCTACACTGGATTAAACAACAACTAAACATTAAAGGTATGTACTAGCGCAGCTGCTGGAGATCAAATATGATTTATCATTGTTTATAAAATCTTCTTATATTCTCCATATCGTATATCTACTTCATTTTGTCATTTGGTTTATATTACACAGATAACCAGAATGTAGATGCATAGCAAATATAAACAGAGACCTAGCTGTATAATTGCAATTTCATAGATTCTGGAATGATAAGTTTAACAGATGATAAGAAATGTTTTTTACACAATGGTAAACCATATTGTTGAAACATTTTAGTTTCTGCCTCCGCAAAGACCACCCCACACAAACTGAATTTCCAACAGACTAAGGAATGTAGTATTTGGTCGATATATTATTGTACCTGACAAACTACAGTATACCTTACAATTTTTGCTCAGCTCAAAATTCACTTGATTTTAGCAGGCAATTTCTTACTGGGCTTTTTATCAATTAGCCTCATGGTCTAATTGAGACCAACAACAATCTTTTGACGCTGATGAAAAATCAACCAGTCTGTGGTGGCCTAAAAAACAATACACACATACTGTACATAATTCTCTTCACCATCAAGTTAGACCAAAACCTCAATTCATTTCTAACTCAATAAAACCTTAACATAGAAATCTGAAAGTACTGTCATTCTCTTAACACAGATAAGCAAAATAAAACATAATTCATGCCAATTAGAAAAAAAAGATGTGGTCAACATTGAATAATAGAGAAATACATTCATCTAAAGATTTACAGTAAGAAATAATTCATATTTCTACTTTAGTCACATACAGCAAAAAACAATGCAACAAGCCATTCTTTCATGTTTTCAAAGCTACAGAATCCCGATGAAAAAAATTTGTTTCAAATGCTCTTTACAATATGCAATAAAGCACTGGAAAAACTTTCAAATTTTCTGTGCAAAAAAAAAAGAAATTATTGAGAAAGAACAGGTAAACCGTTTTGGTTAAGGATTGGATAAGGTTAAAGGGAATCTCACTGGTTGGTGAAGAATGAAGAGCAAGAAAGGGCTGAAAAAGGGAAGAGAAAATTCTAAAATGTTTACGGACAGATCCAAATTCTCAATAGTTTTAATTGCTTCAGTTCAAATTGTCTCTGCTTCGACTACAATGAATATTGGTCTGGATAAAATTGCATGAATCCACCATATATTGTTTAAGTTCGTACAGCGATTTGTGTATGCCTTATGATTGGTTCCGTGAAACAATGATTGTCACCGTCTGTAGGAGGTATGCACAATCTTTTAAGTTATTGTTTGACATCTCTCTCTATATATATGCAAACAGCCTTTCAATTAGTTAACATATGCAAACTTAACACTATATTGTCCATATCAATCAATATTCATTGAAGATGAGGTGGAGAAAATATGTCCTGAAGCTATCAATAATAAATTCATTCTTACAATTTCTTAACAGTCAAGATCAATAGTTCCTAATATCAACCAACTATAAAATAATCAACAAGCCATGGTAGTTAATATATTAGTAATATAGTAAATACTTGTACTTTCAAAAAGTATATACTTTTAACACATGAATTACAATAACAGTAATAGACAGAAAATAAATTCTAAATATTGAAAAAATCTTTTTTTTTTTCTTTTCATCGCACTTAATATAATAGAACATACATATTACTGTGGAAAAAAGGAAATAAGATAAGGTCCCACACCAACCAATGAGAAAACCTGTCACTGAAAGAAGATAATCAGTAGGCTGAATAGAGTTGGTTTATCATACATACCACTGCCTCTACTTCCCCTGTGGTGGCCAGCGCGACTGTTAATTAAATAGATAAATAAGGAATGGGCCAGGTCAATGATGAAATGAAGAAAATTATTATACAGAATAAACAAAGTACTTCATTATATCATAAATATTATTCAAGCACCCTTATAGTTAGCTTTAACTCTTATTTTTCATGTTATTTCCAATTGTCACATATTATATAATTATTCATATGAGAATTTTAATACAACTGTATAAAAGGGACAAATCAAGGGATTTTTTTTTTTTTTTGTAGCTCTAATGACAAATGGTGTACGTAACTCATTCATGCTAGCTCTACAAGCCATGCTAATTATAGTATATAATACATTCATGCATAGTCAAACACTATTCACTGATAAAATAAATATAACAAACAAATTCTACCTATGCCTAAATCTATTACATTGAACATGTTTAATAATACAGTAGAGGAAATGATCCCAAATGCGTTTGAGTTTATTTTAAATTGAATAATGTTTGGGGGGGGGCTATGATATTAAGAGATTATAAAGCATAAATTCAAACATACTTGCAGGATATATAATGGCATATGGTTATATATGGAAAAACTGTAAATAGGAATGAAAAGTGATTTAATCCTTTACCATAAAGTATAAAGATTAATAATAAAGAGTACTTACCCTTGTTTAGTTGGTATTGTTGGTTGTACAGGTTGTTGTTGTTGCTGTTGTTGTTGCTGTTGTTGTTGCTGTTGTATTTGTGGTTGAGATTTCCGTAAAGTTGTATGACCATTACTAATCGGATGATCAGGAAATCTAACTAATAATTTTTGTCCTTCACATTCTTCACCCTGTATTATCAAACAGGTTACTATTAAAAACTAAAGTATAATAATGGTGTAAACCAGGGAGCAAGTTCCCAGCTTTGATTTCATGTCCAATCATTTTGTCTATGGTAATTAGGTAAGCAACACATCTAGAAGTCAATCTCACAAGTAAGTTAAAGTGACACAAGAGACTACATATGTATCAGCACCATATGTCTCATCAGACAGATGTACAGAACACTTCATTTATCCAGCAAGTAATCCAATTTCAGCATCTATACCAGTTTGATGTGTTTTGTTCTATTAACAGTCTTTGCTTTACATGACTGGCTGCAATCTTTATTTTTTTTAGTCAACCAGTCCACTTTAAGTTTAACCATTTTCTGGGTTAAATGGCGGCATATGATAATCAAGTTGTTATTCTGAACCTAATGCTTAGAAACAAATGTGTCTGTATCTACCTGGGGAGCCAGGTGTTCTCAGTAAGACTTTGGCCTACTAATCTGGAGGTCCTGTGATTTTACTCGTTAAATTTATAAAATATAGAATTATACACTTAATCTTACCTGCAAGCCATGCATAGCCTTGCCTGCAGCTTCTTTAGTTTTATAATTTACAAAAGCACAATATTTTTCGGGTAATAATCGGACACTTGTTACGGGTCCATATCTACACAAATAGAAGAGAAACATCTTTAGAAAGCTAAAATCTATCATAGTTTATTTTTAATATAATAAATAACAGGCTAACAAAATAACTTATTTGCATATAAGACAGAATCTTTGCAATATTTTAAGATTTTAACAATAATCAATCAAATTCACACTTTTCTCCAATAACAAGCCAACAGTGAGGCTGATGACCCCCCGCCGAATTCCCGAAATAAATAGATGACACATATTAATTAACTGCACGTTTATCTTTTTCAAATGTATCGAGCAATCAAACTGATTATCAACTATACACTTGTCTATCAGATAGAATCAAAGTCAAAGAAATTGCTTAGCTTTGCTTAGCTTTAGCAGGAAATGTTAAATCATTGAACTCAGTCAAGACTCAAGACATTCACCTAATGAACATCAACATCAAGTTTAAACATTCTACAACCAATTAAAAGCAGAGTTGTTATGTTCTAAAGTTTTGACCAATCAAACTGCTTATCGCTCCTTAGCCTATGCAGAAAATTCTCATCAAACTTAGTCAAGGTAATGATATAATGAATCTATACTCAAGAGTTTCATAGCTCTCACTAAATTATAACCAAAGTTATCGTGCCTAAAAGCATCAAAAAATCAAATTGCTTATCTCTGCTTACCATAAGCAGACAATGTTCATCATCGAACTTCATCAAGGCAATTACCTACTGAACGCCTACATCAAGTTTGAACATTATTGTATTTCAATGTCTCGACCAATGAAATTGCCTATCGCTCTGCTTATCCGCAGCAGAAAATGTTCATTATCAAACTTAGTCATGGTAATGATGTGATGAAACTATACAATAAGTTTCATCGCTCTCACTTAATGAGAACTAAAGTTATTGTGTCCCAAAGCATCAACCAATGAAATTGCTTATCTCTGCTTACCTTTAGCAAAAAGATTCTCATCTTCGAACTCTATCAAGGCATTCACCTAATAATACCTACACCAAGTGTGAACATTGTTGCTCAATTAGAAGGAGAGTTATTGTGTTCCAAAGTCTCGACCAAACAAATTGCTTCTCGCTCTGCTTAACCTGAGCAGAAAATGTTCATTATCGAACTTAGTCAAGGTATTGATGTAATGAAACTATACACCAAGTTTGATCACTCTCACTTAATCAGAACTGAAAGTTTTAAGTGTCCCAAAGCATCAACTAATCAAATTGCTTATCTCTGCTTACCCTAAGCAGAAAATACTCATCTTCGAACTCAATCAAGGCATCGACCTAATAAACACCTACACCAAGTTTGAAAATTCTAGCTCAATTAGGAGAGTTATTGTGCCCATTTAAAGAGTACCCTGCTTTCTTCGAAAGGCGGGGACAATAATGCATACTTTTGTATACTATGTTACATGTGATATTTTGGTCAAGACTAAATCACAATTCAGTAATATCTGTCAAGTTGCATAAAAAACAGTCTTCTATTATATTTGCAAACTATCTTAAGAGATTTTGGGGCATATCTTTTGGTCCCATTGCATTCAAATTTATTTCTTCAAAAACAAAAATGTATAAAATGGCTAAGGACAACATGTAAGGCATCTTTATGGTCAACTTACCTTGAAAACATTTGCATTAATTTTTTTTCGGATACCTGAGGCAAAACATTCCCTACCCACAGTGCAGTTAAACCTTCAACATTTCTTGGACTGGAAAAAATATTAACAGGGAAATAATCTTCAAACTTGTAATATAAGAAACAATGAGTTGCATGGATAATTTAAGATTTGTCAAGGATCAAGAACCAAACCATATCATATTTTTGCCTTTAGAGAATGACCTCTTGAAGAATGTGAATCATAATCAAATAGTTTCTTTACTTTTGCAAATAAAAAATAATGTCAAAACAAATTTAAAGTTCTAGATGATGATCAGGTCTAATTACCAAATAAATGTCAAAACACTTCATATAAATTTTAGATGATGATAGGGTCAAATTACCAAATGTAATATAACTTGGTACTTACTCCATTTTAACATCTGATTGTTGTATTTGTACAGGATAATGTGTTATTAATGGTGGACTAGCTTTTCTTGTCACCGGTTCATCATCATCAGATAAATATACTTCACCAGATAATGCACTCTCAGCTATACACAAAAATGTAATATAAAGAAATAACCACTTAATTAAGCATATTTTTGAAACAAGATAGAACTTTTCATTAACTACAGGCAACGAAACATACGCCCACAGCAGCTAAATCGTTCGAGCAGTCAACAAGAGTTGTCACATATTTTTTCTATTGTCGGTAATGAAACATTCATAATACACTAAAATCTGATTAAGAGTAACAATTATCAGAAAATCATTTGAATTTGTTTGGCTTTTGGTTCTGCCTAGTGCTCCTACGACTAGTCGGATAGCCGTAAACGGTTAGAACTGGACGGTTATTCGGAGATGTCCCCCATTACACAGAGTTGTGTCTGATTATATTCCTCTTTATAACAAAACTTGCCCGTTGTCATTTTGTATTCGATGTTTGAAAATCTTAGAATGTAACAGTCGTCCTACGATGTCGATTGCTAAAAAATAATACTATTAATAACACTCGTCGTAGTCATACGGCAAAGTCAACGGACCTTGTTCTGACTTTAACTATTGTTAATCCAATCTAAATATTCTCGGCATTTCTAACTATATTCTAACCTGTTTATTATGTACTTCAAAACATAACCACCATTCAAAATATAATCATAAAGGCTAGAAAATGACATTATACTAGATTCGTTACGACATTCAACACGTTTCATATCTCGTAATTTCTCGCATAAATTCTACTTTGGTTTTTAGTAAAATTAACCAATCATAAAAATTCTACTTGCAAGCGAGGAATTATTTTTTTATTGTCCAATCAATAGACGCCTTCCAATTTAGTTTATTCTATTCTTAGTAACATTGTGTAATTGTAATATTATCGCCATCTGTCACGTACGAAGGGAAACAGAGTATTGTTTTGTATATTATCGTTATATTGAATTAAAAAATGTTTCAAATGAACCAAGTTAACCAGGTAAATAAATAACTACGGCCTAAGATAGTTTAAATTTTCATTGAGGAATTGTACATGTCTGAAAAAATTCCTGAAATTTTTGCGCGTGTGATGCCTTTTAGGCGAGTATAGCGTGCGCACGAGTAATGACTCGCACCTCCTGACAAGCTCTGTTTTGTTTAAAATTGATACCATACGGTTAACGGTTACTAACCGGTTAATAGCTACGGCTATTCGAATAACAAAAAGGCCTAACCGTAGGAGTACTAGTTCTGCCCCATGCTAACGTTTAATATACGAAACATTTAATATCATGAATTCAGCTTTTCAAGTTATCAAAATTCATTGAAAATCAATATACTTGTTCGTCTCAAGACCTTACAATCTGTTTATCAATCTTAAGTCAATCGGATGATAAATTTGGTCTCTAGACATCCACAAGATTTTTCAAAGAGATCAATGGCCCTAACTCTGGCAGTAATTATCGGAAATCATTGAAAATCAATAGGCTTCTTTGTCTCATGACCTTAAACACTGTGTATATATTTAAAGTCAATCGAATATAACTTTAACTTCTAGAGCTTCCACAAAATATATCAGTGATCAAGGGCCATAACTCTTGCAGTAATTATCGGATATCATTGAAAATCAATAGGCTTTTCGTCTCATGACCTTAAACACTGTGTGTAAATTTGAAGTCAATAGGATATTAACTTTAGCCTCTAGAGCGTCCACAAGATATTTCAAAGTCATAAAGGGCCATAACTCTGGTAGTAATTATCGGATATTGTTTAAAATCAATAGGCTTCTTCATTTCATGACCTTAAATACTGTGTTAAATCTAAAGTCATCTAATCGGATATTAACTTTAGCCTCTAGAGCGTCCACAAGATATTTCAAAGTGATCAAGGGCCATATCTCTGGCAGTAATTATTGGATATTGTTGAAAATCAATAGGCTTCTTCGTCTCATGACCTTAAACACTGTGTATATATTTAAAGTCAATCATATATTAGCTTTAGCAACATAATACAATCTTACCCATGCCTGCTAATAAGGAATCTAAGGCTGTTTGTACAGAACCATATTTTTTTATTGCACCTTCTGCCTGTTGTTTTGTAAAACCCATTTCCTGAAACATAGCAACAATATTATCAGTCATGTTTCACATACAACCCAAAATTATGATGAAACAGTTATATTTATAGGTATAAATTCACTGCCAAGGGATATTTTACATGCACGCCAATGTGTGCACGGGACCTCAGTTTTTCGTCCAATCTTAAAGATAATAATACACTCACTGTAAGTTGGTATGTCCGCACTCGTAAAAGTTCTTGGACTGCCTCCTCACAATTTTTATCTAATTTTAGCACCTGCATAAAAGCCTTTTCTGCATCAGGATATAACTGAAAAACAAAATTATTTAATCAAAGGAATGTTTACAGATTTGAAATTATTGATACACTTACGGGATAAGCATATATCTGATTGATGTGAATAATTATCAAACAAATGCTTTAAATGGTAAGTCACGAGTTTATAACATTCAGGAAGTAGTATAATAGATTTGGCCAATGCAAAAATATCACATTTGAAATCAATCAGAGATTATTAAGTTATTTCAGTTATATTTCAATGTTCGTTTAATTATAAGGAAATTTATAAGATAAATGAAACAAATCATATACAGCATTATATCAAGTCATTCATATGGGATTACAGAGTAAAATCTTACTTTTAAACCAGCTAAAGCTCTTCCTTTTCTAAAATAACCTTTCGGCCAATCTTTACATAAAGAAATAGCTTTTTCTGCATCTTTTAAAGCTCTGGAAATTGAACAAAAGAGTACTAAAATTGAAATCATTCTGTTCTGAGTATTATTTGTATGTCTACCGGTACAAGTACATTGTATGATATTATAAAATGCTTAAGAAGTTTATCTAGATAGAAAATCTTTTGCGTATGGTCAAGGATCTCTTTAGATGATTGTTCTTTTTGACTAGAAATTCTGCAAATACATACTTATCATATTGTTGCATTCTGTCGAAGCAATAAGATCTATTACCAAAAAATCTAGAAAAAGAAAAACAGAAGTTAAAGGGACATTATGTTATATTTAGATAAAGAGCTGGCTGTTCAAAACAGATAATGCAAAATGAATATATTGAAAATTTCATTCAAATTACTTTATTTTGAGCCAAGTTATCAACAGTTGTAGTTTTGACAAGATGCGTGCATTGATTACAACATCCGTACTAGTGATTTGAGTTTTAGCAGCCTTGTTTCTCCATTTTTAAATTAAATCATTATATGGCTGAACCGTTCTAATTTACTTAAAATCAAAGCCATCCGATGGCTTCGAAAGTTAGTTATGATTTTAATAATTTATGGCCCAAAGAAAGACCTGGAATAGGCAGATTTATCTCTTATATATATAATGATTGTTTAATGAGATATAAATATCTATTGAGTTGTGCTCTGTATTTTTAACAGTCAATATTGTTTTTAGATATCTACATTTTATATGTATAGAAGTTGTTTAAAATCGTCTCAGCAAAAAACAGTTAAAAAAACATGGTATAATTTTTTTCAATAATGTGCATGCATGTAGGTTTCTTTTTAGCAGTGGAAAGAACTGGATACTCAGAGTGAACCCACAAGTTCATGTACAACCTGGGATTTTTTAAAAACAATGCTACTTCACCCAGTGACAGATGTTCTAATCTATATTACATGCATTAGATTACTCAACCACCAAACACCTCAGATAGCAAACACAAGTTATAGCTAATATTCCAAAATGACAAATTTAATTCACTAACCTGAAATCTTTTGGATCAAGTTTTATAGCTTCAGTAAAAAGTTCTATAGCTGCACTGTAATATTCTAATTGGGCCATTTCATTCCCTCGAACTAAAAAATAATACATAGTAACTTACTTTTCAAATCTTCATTTATAACATTCAAATATACTTATTATATTGTCAAATATATTTATTATATTGTCAAATATATTTATTATATTGTCATATTTATTGTACTTACTGGCTAACTGTCTACTTCGAAGAACTATAGGATCTAATCCTTCAACCTGTAAAGACAGGGAAATCAAATGATTACTAATTACCATGACATTAATTTCATAGATACACACTGGGAAAGGAAATATTTCTTTTTACAAATGATTGCTATAAAATGTCCTAATTCAATAGTATACAATATAATTTGAGTTAAAATTTAACCACAAACATTCACGTCCTGAATTTCATGACTAGACCAAAATTAAGGGTTTGTGGCTGCCTTGATGCAATAGTAACAGATTGTTATAATTAAAGTAGAAGTTATGATTTACCTCTTCTTCACTTTTAGTTGATTGTTGGGAATCTTTTGTTTTTTTATCTTTTTTATTTGTTTGTGTTGTTTCAGGAGCACTACCTTTCTTTTTTTTATTTATAACTTTTGTAAAAAACGCTGGATGGGATTCAAAACCCTGAAAAAAAAATAATTAAGATTAGATTTGAAAACAAACTGGCAAATGTCTTTAATATTTAAAATTTATTGAAATGCTCTATACAATTAGTATGACATAGTACATATGCTAATTTCTAATTTCAATAGATGGTATGAATAAAAATACTTACAGTGCCTTCATCTGAAGAAGAATCACTACTGGAACCACTGTAAAAATTATACAGTTTAAACAAAATTAAAAGTATATTTTCTATAAATTATCAAAATTTCTGAACTGCATGGTATTTTTTAATTTATGGAACCACTAGTACTTCTTAATTCAAAGTATCATTTAATCTTAAAAAAAAAATTTCAATATAAATTGTAATACTTTTTGTTGAGATAATGCATTAACTTTTATGCGACCAACATGTGAAACGAGTTTTTGATATCACCACAGCTGACTACAGTCTGTAACTTATTGACTCTGTCAATGTACAAACAAGTCATAGAAAGTGATTATCTTACTTACGTTCTATCATTTTTTTTACCATTAGACTTTTTGGATTTTCCTTTATCATCCTGCAATATATATTTAATAAAATTAGTATTTTACCCATCTGAAAATCATCAAACTGTTATGAATTATAAGGCATGATTGACATAATCAAGAGCTCAAGTGGGCTTAATCGTGCATTGGTGTTAAAGCTCTATCAATACATTAACTATCAATATGTTGAATGTTGAAGCTACCCATGAGATAGGGGATTTAGAAAACATTTTACAATGCTTTATTCACTGTACAAATTTTATAAAAGTTTTCAAGTTCAGCAAATAATCGTTCAAAATGTTTTTCTTGGACCAGTCCACTTCTCCGAGGATAATCCAAGTTATTATACAAATTGATTAAGTATGCATATTGAAAGTAAAATGCCACATCAGGGTGTGCCTTTGAAATTAGAACTAAGGGAATCATTATGATTGTTCAACCAATCCTGCCAAGTTAGAAAAACACACACACAAAGCAACTAAGTCATTCAAGTTGTCCACAAAGGTTGTCAGAGACTTATTCTTTTATAAGTAATGGGACCATTTACAAGACACTAAAAACTGATCATTTTATTTGTTGCACCTGAATAAATGAACAGCGATGTGAGGGCGACATCAAAAATCGAACAGGGTTTAGTGGGGAGAATTTCTCAATAGTTTCGGGGCCAATGGCGCCCACTATTTTGAGCCCAAAGGCCAATTTTAATCAAATTGAATAATTCGAGTTTACAAGTGTCAAATCTCAAGCCCTGAAACTAAAGTTATAAAATTACTGTCAAAGTTTGCTTGCTCCCCACCCCAAGGAACTGGAAACAAGTGTAGAAGTGCCACTGCAGACAACTTTTACTATCATGCACACAAGAATTGTGTTTTTTTATAATCCAAGTATAAAACTGAACAAAATCTGTATTAATTAAACTAACATATACATTTTTCTTACTTGTTTTTCTTTTTCTAAACGCTTTCTTTCTTTTCGTCTTTTCTTTTTAGCTTTTTTTCTATCATTTTTCTTTTTCTCTTTATCTTCTTCCGTTACTAATTCCTCTGCATTTTTTTGTATATCCTTGAATTTCATAGAACAAATAATTATAAGCATATTGCACCATATCTCAGAGTAATAATCCAAATTTACAGTATATTGCAACATAATCCATAATTCTAAATAATTGATTGGTGAATATGTGTACATGAACCTTATACTACAGGCCTAATATTCTGTTGATCTTCCATCAAGAGCAAATATTCATACTAGGTGAAATTGACAAAACTCATAACTAAAATATATCTGTTTAGGTGATATTGAGTTTGCTATGGTTGGTGGCAAGACATTTAGAAAGTGGTTATACAACTGCTTTTCAAATTTCATTTAATTAATTACAACAGTATACTAACCTCTGGGGAGAGGTATGTAGTATTTCTAGGACCTGTATTTATAAAGTTATAATTATTAATTAATAAATATATACTATCATAATGTTATATTTTGTTAAACCAGTTCAGAAAAGACCAAGGACTAAAAACAGACTAAAATTAAATTACTTGTAATTGATTTCTGATTATATGGCATAAAGTTTGTGTTCTCTGCATTTTTTAAATATGTAAACTTGCAAATATATTCAGACATAATACATCTGTATACAACTTATACAAGTACTTTTTTTGCTATTGGGTATATCGTGTTTATGTTTACATCTATCATGTGCTACATTACAATACTGGTCTTCATCATCATCACTATCATCAACATCACTGGAATCTTCATCTGTTGAATAGGAATGACGCCCATTCACTGTTTCTATACACACAAAAAAAAAACAACACCAAAGATATTAATTGACCCCATGAAACTTCTATGGAACTTAAACTGTCAATAGTCTTCCTGTTGCAATTCCATCAGTGTAATTTATTAATACATGTATTTGAATCAGTTTTGCAATGTTATTCATAAGCTATAAAACTAGCGGTTGCCAGGCAAGATACGCCCACATTTTGCAAGGGATGGATAAAAGAACAAGCTAAAAAAAAAAGAAGCAATTTTACATAAAATCAGTAGTCATAAACCAGGATGTTACGATCTGCTACGCGCACGTATCGAAAGAGACCAAGATCTTTGGGCTATAAACCCTAAGTTCAAGTTCCGTCACAATCAGATAATAATTGTGACTTATAGACTGTTGACAAATTGTGGATGGACGGACATCCAAACGAACAGGGGCAACGACAATATACGTTCACATAAAAATGTGGTCGTACAAAAAAAACTGTCATAATACTAAGAATAAACTCAATGAAAAACTTAATTATCGTAGTAAATCTTGGATCACAGTTTGTTGCTAATAATAGGACTATGGTATGAAAAGTAGAATGATAAAGAACTTATCTAGAACAAGGCTGGAACAATAAAAGAATAAATCTTCAAGTTTAACAGTTTTCAACCACAAGGACTTTAGAGTCCAGCTTATCATTTACTTATAAAGATGTGTAACAGAAGCGATGCTACAAGTTTGACAAATATCAGACTTTAAAAGGCCTTATTTATGACCTACTTTGCAGAAACATAAACATTTTAATTTCAAATTCATTTGTAAGGAATTTGGTAATTGTTTGTACGAAATATAATCCTCTACCAAGCTTGGATAGTGAGTCACCAGCTACTTAAAGACACTTTCCCGCATACAAACTGTGTGATTTGATGATATATTTGGACTAAAAACTAATTCATCCATCAAAAGTTTGCTTTAAATCCCTATCAAAACTTTGTATTCATCGGGAGATACCGCAAGCTGTAAATAAACTGTTGTTGGACACTATGTCTGTCAGTTTAATTCATTGAGGAAGTGTCCATTTTTCAGAATGTATTTTTCGTTACTTACAGTCCATTTATCATACATATTGAAGCCTAAGTAAATTCTTAATTATTTTCTGTCAACTAATTTTTCCACTGTTTAATTGCAGAGTTCTTTGTCATTGACCACCCTTAATCATAATGTTCCCAAAACCGCATAACCATTTGATCAAGAAATAACCGCTCCCTCAGTCAAGCTAGCACACAATAAGCTTGCAGACAACAGTTAGGTTGCCAGTTAGTAATACCCTGACATATTTGCCCAGTGCTTGCCCCATGGTTGTTTTTCAGGTAATCCGGTATTTTTCTAGTAAGATTGGGAGTCTATACTTTCCATATACCAAATTTGCCATACTTTTATTGAAAATAACCACCCTATAGATACTTTTGAGACAATGTATCTTTATATAGGATATTATACAAAATTAATTTCAAATATTTTCTTGGCACAACTGATAATAAAATATCTGGGAAGTAACTTACTGGTAGGTTTTGTAAAAAATAAATCTTTAAATTGTTTTAACATTTCTTTCTGAAATAAATAAAAGAATAACTGAATTTAAAAGTGTGAATAACAGAATATTCATAATAAAACACACATTAATTAATACACTGATCTCAAGAATTTATAACAAAAATCTTATAACATCATCAAAAGGTTGTACAATATATCACTTCAATCTTGTACAAGTATAAATTCATTCTAAATCCAAAACTTTGACATTGGCCAATAAATTTCCTGAGGATATTGCGGCATGGTTTCCTGTTGTTAGTGGTGATGAAAGGAGGGCTGGGCTGGGAATTGTCTAGTCATTTGGTAGTTCAGCTCTGAACGTAGGTCTCATTTCACTCGGCCTGTACATTCAGGAACTCTTCTATTGAATCCTTGTCGAAACTGAGATCCGCTCCAGTCAATCTTACTGAACTTGGCCATATAAGTTGAAACTAAATTTAGGTTAAGCCTGGCGGGGAAAAATTGGATTTGATGAAAGAATTTGATTATAAATTACTGTAATTGAGCTAGGCAAAGCAATAAATGACTGAAGATTCTCAACTTTTCAAAGATTTCAATTTTTTTCTCCCAGGCTTCCCTAAATTTCGTTTCAACTTATATAGCCGAGTTCCTAAATTTGTGCGTTACCCTTTCAATGAAGTCCGCCAAGTCGGTTAGAAGACGGAGACATATTTTTTAACAGCGTGTTGTGTCGCTCACACTGGTTCTATCGAGGTAAGCAAGGTCTTATTTTCTCACTAAGGTGTTCATTTATATTGTTCAGGCGTTCACCGGGACTGACACGTGACCGTTTAGCAGTAAAAAGTTGCCCAGTAAGATTGACTGGGGCGGATCTCAGTTTCGACAAGGATTCAATAGAAGAGTTCCTGAACGTACAGGCCGAGTGAAATGAGACCTACGTTCAGAGCTGAACTAGTCATTTGGAAGGTACATGGCGGAAAAGTATTAAACCCTATTCCATTCCATAGACTGATTTAGGCTATTCTTTGGAGATTTAATGTATTTACAGATCAATGCATTGATATTTCAAAAAGTAGGATATGATCTAAAATTCAATTTTCAAGAATTTTTGTTGCACCTAATAAATCAGCACATTTTGCATCTCTGTCACTTGTGCGATAATTTTACCATAATTGTTATATACTGTAATGAAATTAGGATTAAATTAGTATAATTTTAGCATACTTTTACGTTCTTTTTCCTTACTATTGTTATCAGTTTTCTGCTTTTCAAAGTCCTATTTTGGAGACATGCAGGTGTACATTGCAACTGGGACATTTAAATTGATGAAAAGTATCCATTTAAATTGATAAAAAGTATGATTTAAATTGATAAAAAGTAGGATTGAAATTGATAAAAAAAATATGATTTAAATTGACAAAGATAGGTTGCCAGGCAACAAAACATATGCCCACAGCATTTGACAAAAAGTATGTCATAAGAGTGTCAAATTGTTTATAAATAAATGTAATCTTAAAGACAAAATTTCATTATTTACTGAACTAGTATTCTAATTATTATTAATTTATATGGAACTTTACATGACATAACGTTTTTTGTCCCATACGTTACGTCTCTAGAAATCTCTATACATTCAACGATCATGCGTATCAAGTAAAACAACTATCATTGTCATACACACCATTCAGCCCAAATGTGGCGAGTGAAACTTGTCTCGTGGACATCATCATCAACTTTCAGAGGTCTAAACAATCATACTCATTTTAAGTCCAAAAAGTAATTTCTTGAAAAATTTGCATAATGCTACATTGACAGTGATTTGATCCAACCTTACTAATTTATGAAATGAAATGGGGTTTAACATCCTACTGTTCTGCTATTAATATGGGCTAATGAAGACGGGCATACGCCATACAGTGTGCTTTGAGGGAAATTTTGCCCGGGCAGCAGCACTACGGCCTACTCTTATATTGTATTCCAACTGCCAAGGGATCTTTTACGTGCACACCAATGTGTACACAGGACCTCGGTTTTTTGTCCCATCCGAACGACAATACAGCTGTCCTTGTCAGGCCCTCCATCCTGCATGACTGGCAAGGAGGAAACCACGCCGGAAAATCTGAACACCCGACCTCCAGGCTAACGAGCCAGCGTCTTACCCACTTAGCCACATGATCCCCTACTAATTTATGACAATCTATTACGACACCTGGCTGATTTATAGCAAGATGGAGTTCAGCGGAAATGCGGGACATGTGACCAGATGAGTGTTATCTTGAGTTCCGTCGTTATAAAACTGTCATTAATAACTTTGATAGTAAATAAAATGTTCAAACGTTAATTTCACACTTACTATATAATGAGATTTAAATCCAACCACAAGAAAATTCTACACATTACAAAGTTCGACATTTTCTACGCACTCCTTTGTCTCAAGTTACGTTTTATTTTTCTTAACTTAGTCATATGTTACATCTCAGACACCTGGCTGATTTATAGCAAGATGGAGTCCAGCGGAAATGCGGGACGTTTGACCAGATGAGTGTTATCTTGAGTTCCGTCGTGATAAAACTGTCATTAATAACTTTGATAGTAAATAAAATGTTCAAACGTTAATGTCACACTTACTATATAATGAGATTTAAATCCAACCACAAGAAAATTCTACACATTACAGAGTTCGATAATTTCTACACGCTCCTTTGTCTCAAGTTACGTTTTATTTTTCTTAACTAAGTCATATGTTACATCTCAGACATGTTCAAAACATATGTTACATCTAAAACCGTTATTTCCAGGCCTGAATTCAAAGCCAATTGAATATTAATTTTAGCCTCTAGTGCGTCCATAAGATTTTTCAAAGTGATCAAGGGCCATAACTCTGGCAGCAATTATCAAAAATCATTGAAAATCAATAGGCTTCATCTGATGACCTTAAACACTGTGTATAAATTTAAAGTCAATCGGATATTAAGTTTAGCCTTTAGAGCATCCACAAGTGATCAAGGGCCATAACTCTGACAGTAACTATCGAATATCGTTGAAAATCAATAGGCTTTATCGTCTCATAACCTTAAACACTGTGTATAAATTTAAAGTCAATCCGATATTAAGTTTAGCTCCTAGAGTGACAACAAGATTTTTCAATGTGATCAAGGGCAATAACTCTGGCAGTAATTATTGGATATCGTTGAAAATCAATAGGCTTCTTTGTCTCAGGACCTTAAACACTGTGTATAAATTAAAAGTCAAACAGATATTAATTTTAGCTTGTGGACGCCGGACGGACGGACGGGGGCGACGACAATATACGATCACATTTCAATGTAGGCATATAGAAATTGGGGACAAAGATTATTTTGAGATGTAACCAAAATCCCTTGACATGAAATTGTGGATCAAATACAAATGCAGGGTATGATATAAGCATCTAATATGGTAACCTTAAAAAGGCTTACACATCAGTTGGTGATTGGAAATGGTAACCTATCAACATCAATTTACTGTTGTATTTGTTGAGAGCCGACGGCTCAACCTATAGCTTCGCAGGTGATAAAGAGCGCCGGCATGCAATATGATACAATTTGGATGATTTTACACCACTTTAGTCTACACTTAAAGGCCAGTATAAGGGTAACTTTGTATTTCAATTTATCAGGTATTTCAATCTATTAGCACAAGGTAATTAACTAATGAAAAGATTGAAAACTCAAGATTAAGCAACCGAGCGTGCAATTCGGTGCAGTCTAACTGTGCGACGACCCCTTTATCAACCCTTTTCTAGCTATACTGATAGGTCAATGCATTGTAGGCTATTGAATATCATTTTTTTTTATTATTAGAAATGTTGTGTAAAATGCAATCTCCGGTCATCTAGAAAGAAACGCTGGTGTCAGCTAGTTTCGTTATTTTCGCTGACAAAATGATAAATAAACAATAATTGTACTGTATTCAAAATAGCAGAGAATTAATTGACTGTGATAAGAAATAATCATTCTTCACAGTTTAACAGCATGCACCACCACTTCAATACGCGGAGTTATGCCTCAGGTAACTCTTTTTCGAAAGGAGATACAGAATACCGTCTGTTCCTTGATTGTCACGTTGTACTTTAAAACTTGACTACAGTACTGGATAACCATGGACATCTGTGTTTATTATTAGGCGTGCAGTTTACTTGCCAGCTACCCGTTCTCTATTACCTAAAAGACCGTTCTCAAGTTATTTTGTACACTGCAAATACATATTAAAGGGTTAACATACAGTGTCCATTTCTGCTTGGCTGTCTGTAATAAGTCTTCTATAGGCATGACTAACTTGTCTAAATTTCTGGAATAAAAATGAAAAAGAATTTGTCTATCAATCCTTACAGATACTGACAATCTAACATAGCGAAAAAAAGACAATGAAGTAACTTTTACTGTGTCTCTCATGTCTAGTTTCATTTATACTGAAATATTTACAATACGACAAACAAAATGATACACAACGAAATAGAAATAATGTGTCGATCATCTCATTTCAGTGACCTCTATTGTGATGTCAAGAATTATTCTGATGTTGTATGCATGGTTACCCTGCACACTATTCCTGACATTTTCAAACCCGATTAACACCATATGCGTTCACAGGAATGACTGAACAAAATTAGTTGTCAATTTCTCCATATTATTATCAATTGGTAAAAAAATGTTCAATAATTTGCTTGCACGAAAGGGTCTTTAGCAGTTCGGAGAACCAGACAAAACCCACGAGTTTGGACAGGTAACCCTACTTGAGGATCAAAACCATGCCACTTGACTTAATGACAGACCTTATGATGCAGGGTTGTAAAAATCCACTAGCCCGGCGCCCGGGGCTACCAAAAATAACTTACGGGCTAGTGATCTATTTAGCCGTACTAGTCCTGGGCTAGTGCCCTTTCATTGGTTTGTGACTCAAACTAGTGACGATATAGATAAATAAACTGTAAAATAACCCACATTTATACCTCATATTCCAAGGAAAACTCAATCATAAGAATAGATTTTCTATAGTATTTACTGTACCCCTTCTATTCCCTTTTATTCATTCATAATTGACATTTCATTTCTCCATCTTGCACGCTTTGACAGGTCATGTATAAACCAGTTGAAATCAGGTTGATTTAAAAACAAAAGATTCACTTATACTTTATATTAGATTAGTTTTGACATAAATATTTGTATTTTTAAATACAAGATAATTTTGATTAACATGTCGGGTATTTCCAAAGAATTTACTACACGTGTTCATTACACACACGCCATGATGAATGGTTCCAGTGACCCGTGTGTCATCAACTTTGACCCTATCGGCACACAGCATGGCACTCGAGTGATAATATAAACAATTTTACTATCCTGTCTATTTTAATATTATATCAGCACATTAAACTGATTTGTTTCATTTTGAGACTCTTTATTATAGAGTGACCAGGTTAATAAATACGGTAAAACAATTAATTTGTCAATCAGTCGAGACTATCTCGTGCTTTACAGTAAGTGCTAATAATAACGTAAGGTATACAAATCTTCGAGCGGGAATTAAAGGACGTTAATTTACCGTGATATATTATAAATGACATGTGCTATATGAAGTATTTACATATGGTCTTTAGTGAAAGAAAACATTGTTGTGGCTACCATTCCTGGTTTTGAAGGTCAGATATGATATGAAAACGAATATAGGTTTGAAGTTTTTTTTAACCGTTTCACCAGTGCAACCAAAGCGTGACCGGTTAACCGAGTAGCCGTATACATCCTTAATTATTTGGCAATCAAGTCTACGATCTTTATTAAAAACGATAGATTGGCAGGCAACAAAACATATGCCAAAATATTGAAGATTAAATCTTGTACCTTGTCAAACTATGGACTAGTGGATATTAATGCCGGGCTAGTGCCTGACAGTAGACTACTAGCCCTGGGCTAGTGGATTCAAAAAATTTTTTACGCCCCTGTTATGATGCAACACGTTAACCATTCGGCCATCCAACCACCCTAATTTACCATAAAGGGCATCATTAACAATATGGAATAAGCTTACTGTACATGTATTATCATATATTATAATAATAAAAATTTCCAGATTTGCAGATTTAGATACAGCAATTCTGGTTCAGACTGTACAATTAGAATAACAAGAGTGTGCATAATTTTCTTAATCAGTACATTTTGATTAGAAATACTAAACCTAAAATTAATGACAAAGGAACCCGGTAAAAATATACAAATGCTAGTTTCAAAGGGCTGTTACTGGTCTATAATCTAATTAAAGGCACAGGATTGTTAGTGGTCTACAATCTAATTAAGGGTACAGGATTGTTACTGGTCTACAATCTAATTAAAATGGGAATATCTTATTAAACTTCTGACCAGAGAGAGAGAACTCGACACAAACTAGGTTATTTTGGGACTAACATATGGTTCAATTTTATTTAAATAATTCGCTGGCGTGTAGGGGTCTTTGGAAGTGGGAGGAAACTGGAGGACCCAGAGAAAACCCACGAGGATGGACAGACGACCCTGTGATACAGCGCGCACATGCTAACCATTCGGCCATCCACACACCCCCTCCCCCCGCCAACTTCTGACCAATTTTATCATTGTTTTGTAACATATTATGCAGTATAGAAAATCAGAATAACAAAGATATCACTTTAGTTAGATTGATTGAGCTACTGATAGTTCACTCTGTCAGCGTTTTTCTGCACAGTAAATAAGTTATCTGAACTGTACCTGTAATGAATCTGGAGAATTAGGATGTTTTTCTGGATGCCATTTCTGAGCTAGTCTTTTGTAACTTGTTCTTATTGAATCATTATCTGCACCTACAATATATTATCACAGTTGTGTAATAGCATGCTATTTGAAAAGATAAATAAATATTGTTCCACATAATTTTAGATTCCTAACTAGGAACACAAACGTGCTGCATTATGTTACATTTCCACTCCACACATACAGGATGTGCAGTATAACAATCTGCCCATTGAAACTCATGATGATTTAGTTTACAATTGTAGTCCACGATGACTGTAGTTATGGTATACACCTATGTACAAATGTTTACAACATGTGTTTTCTTGTAATTTACCTAGAATTGAATAAATTATTTTTTCCTCAAAAATGATATTCTTACGACATCTGAAGACTAGTGTTGTGTAAACCTAGTCAGAACAATTACCGTAAAAGTGTACCTAAATCAACCACTACGTTATACTATTCCAAAGTAGTTGTTTATGTAGGTACACTTGTCTGCCATATCACCTCGATGGAAGCGGACGTTAAATACAACTAACTCACACACACTATTCCAACATATTAGATGTTACTCTAAAACAGTAAAATCTCACTGAACCTGTTGATAACCAGTTTACTTCAATCAGTGGCCGGCAAAAGGTCAAAATTTTCTGTAATCCACACATATACAATGCTTACACACTAGAGATATCCAGTCCGGAGAATCCTATCAAAATACATTTTGTTTTGGCTTAAAATTGGGGTCCTTACGACCTCAGCTTTAATGAAAGCATATGATGGTATATTTTCAGCAAACTTTCCCAAAATGGAATTTACCGACTGACACTTTTCATTTTGTGAATATTTATTCTCCCAAAACGTTTAGCATAGTTGAAGAGCAGATTTTCTTGCTTTGGGAATCTTGAGGTATTGTTGAACAATATCTCTACTTTTTATTTTTTTTAATTTAGGTACCCAGAGTAATGTTATAGGCCTAATATGTACACTACCATACACCACATAAAATGTTATGTGTTTTCTTTTAATGTAGTCATATTGTCGTAACTTATTTTTTTATTCTTAAAATTACAATCCTTCCTTTTGACGTTGCAAGCGAAATTTACAAAAACCTAGGAAACCTTTAGATCTATTCCAATGGCTTTACTTTTGGTTTTCATTCCAATTTCTAGCCTATTTGATGTTAATAATAAATAACCCTTTCTGACAGTTCACCGCTGACACCATTTCATTTTCTTACCAATTGGCAATTCTAACACTTCGTATGCATCCCCTCTGGAAAGGCCCATTTCTTAATCAGTCATTTATAGCGGTTATCATCAAATAATATAAGAATTTCTAAAGCGTATTGACAATTTGTGAGAATTTCAACAGGCAGTCGCCATTACATTACAATGAGCATGTGCGAAAATTGTCACGTGACCAGAATAGTACCCGATATTCAGCGGGATTACACGAGAGAGCTGACTGAGGCTGTCAAACTCCGTCGATTTGGTCAAAGTAGATTACGAACGGTTGACAGAGAAGAACGCTTTTATTTATGAATCTGTCTTTATATATCTGAGTTATTCCCATGTAAAATATTCTTATATATTGTCCTACCTCAAAACAAGTCAACACATATTACTTCTGTTTTATTAATTTGCACTGGTTACCCGTTAAATATCACATTGATTTTAAGATTTTATTACTTTACCGGTACCGGTACTTTTAAATGTTTAAATAATTTTTACCTCTCAGATCTTTTAGAACTTTATACACCTGGCCGAACATTACGTAGCCTACATCAGATAAACTACTTTTAAAGCCCAAAACTGTTCAACTTGTCTCTTACGGTCAGCGCTCTTTTAGTTATCAAGCACCTGTTTTGTGGAATAATCTACCATTTATTTAGCTTTTAAGATGTTGTACATCTCTATATTCTTTTAATTAAAAAACAACTTGAAACACATTTATTTAATCAGGCTTTTAAGTTTTAGCTGACTCGGTAGGCTACACAATCGTTAACATGTCCATAATCGTGTGGTTTATTTATGATTACATTGTCACTTTGTATAAAGTGCCCCTGAGCCTGTTATATATATGAAAGGGTGCACGCTATAATAATAATAATAATAATAATGAGCGCCTAACGATTTTTTTTTATTTTATTTTTTTTTATTTTTTTCGGGGGGGGGGGGCAGTTTTATAACCGACAAGAGCGTTTTTCGCTAAATGGCGTTCAAAGAATTGCAAAAAGGGATCGACATGGAAAGATATGCATATCCTATTCGTACACATCATATCCAAATTTATTTTAAAAATGACAACGGTGCAGTAGGCCTACGGGCTCAATATTGACAAGCTTACGCTGAATAAAGTGCAGTACCGGTACCGGATCTTTTCGAGGGAATGAAGTGGGACAAATATTCCGGGGTCCCCCATATTTACCCCCCCCCCCACCACACACATTATGGGTTGAGTACAAGATTCTGAACGGATACGATTCACTGTAAAGGTTTCTCATATCAAATCAAATTACTAAATGTCTTGAAGAAAATGCTCTTCACATAACAAGAAACTAAGAACATTGTATAGGTTTAAAAAGAATAACAACGCTATGGTACCATACCTGCAAGTTGTTAAAAATCTTTTAACTAAAACCGCGATGTCCCGCCTTAAGACTAAGCATACATTCCCTTGAAATAGAGAGAGGGCGGTACAAGAATATGTCTGCACATCTGCGGTTTTGCACACACTGCCCTCAACAGCAAGTTGAAAATGAGTATCATTTTCTCATTGAGTATGCAACCGCTATGGGGAATACCGCCAGACAATTGTTTTCTTTCGAAAATATGTTTAAGCCACCGTTTGCTCTGGAAAAAACGGTATGTACCTTTTGTGCAACATGCTTTCAAAATAAGGGATGCGGCGCCCACTTCTATAAACAAAACAAAAATAACCTATTGTACAATCCAAGGACCTCTTCTTCACGTTTATTCAAATAATTCACTGCTATCAGTTATGACCAGTTCAAACAAGCGGTTGCCATGCAAGATACGCCCACATTTTGTAAGAAATGGATGGGGAAGAGATAAAATCAATAGGGCTCATTCTCTCATTCAAGATCTTTTGATCCTTAAAATCCATACATGTTTCAAATTTTGAGTGAAAAGTAGGGGCTATAACTCTGAAATGTAAAGTCTGATGCGTACCGAAGGCAAACTCAACCAAGAACTTAACACATAGTTTAAGTTTCATCGAGAAAGGTCCACAAACTTCATTCATATTTGACATTTTGTGTAAAAGGCAGGGAGGAGCAGATGCGCACGAAAACTGAACTTGCCCAAGAACTAGTGATACTCGTTTTAAGTTTCATCTAAATCGGATAAAATTGTGACCTCTAGATGGTCCACATCCTGGGTATTACATGCTTTTATTATACTATTTGCGTAACGGGGAGTGGCTATTTGACGGGAAGTGACGGTTATATATTTGAACAGTTTTGAAAATAAGATAAAAATTGTGACGGGCCCAGAAGCTAAAAACGTAATATTTCACACAATCACGGGGTCATAATCCAGAAAGTTACGGTCCAATGCCAATATCAAAATTGGATAAACAATTCGAACCTCTGGATGGTCCACAATCTGTGACGATCAGATCTAAATATTAAGGCCACCGGCAAATTTCGTCACGGTCACGAGATGTAAGCAGGGTTAGGGTGCGTGATTTTTGCCGTGATTGTGGGTAAGGGTAAGGTCTTCGGTTAGGGTTAGCACTAGCCCTGTTTACATCTCATGGCCATAACGAAATCTGCAGGTCGCCTTAATATTTAAATCTAACCTGGGTATCATACATGTTTTGAACTCAACCGTAATTATGGTGTAACTATGCTATATTTGAACGGTTTTTACAATCAAATAAAAACTGTGACTTCTACAGGGTCCACAAGCTAAAATGTGATTGTTCGTCAGATCAGGGGCCATAATTCAGGAGGTGACAGTCCTATATAAGCCAATATGGACAGGAACCGAGATCTTTCGGTTATATACATACATTGTGCGTTTCATCAAAATCGGATAAAAATTGTGACCCCTAGAGTGTCCACAACCTTGGTATTATTATGCATATATTTGTCTAGGTCAGCATTGTAAGGGAATTAGAATTACCCGAAAATCACTCAGAAAGCGTCTCCGACGATCTAGACCGCCGCAAGCTTAGGCCTACGGGGCCCCTCGCCCCTCGCCTAAAGACCTAGGATGGTAGCGCCCCCCCCCCCCCCAATCAAGAATTGCTTCCGCCGGCCCTAATATTATAAAACTTGTAATAAACATCGACCAGTGGATTGCATATTATACTTGAAATACACATCATGGACCGGTAGATTGTTAGGCGGTGGTCTGTATATATACATGTAGCTGTAGCCTAATACACATAGATCAATATTGCACCGGTACGAAACATACATCAGGGCATAATTTATCATATTTTACACGTTTCATTTCAAATTTATATTCATAAAAATTGAGAAAATTATGGATAGATGGAATTTTGACAAAGTGACGTACACGGAGGTACTTAAATTCGATAAAATGCTTACCGGTATGATCATCAAACTTGGCCACGAATTTTGCATTTATTTCCAAATGGCAATTTGTTTGATGTTAAGTTCCATATAACCGCAAGCCACAATTCATTATGTACCTGGGCGGATACAGAATTGTTCAATATGGGGCGAGGGGCGTATAGGAAATGAGTATATAAAATAGTATGCAGAGGCGTAAAATAAGTAAAGGGCGCTAATTCCATCGGAGCAAACTAAATTAATTTATTTGAGCTCGGAAGCCTGGCAATTACAAATATGGTTTTTACTTAAATGCGATGGACGGCAATACTTTTCGGTACGTATAGCCAATCATGGTTACTATATCCACTTAACGGCAAGTTTACACCAATCTGATTAAAATTAATTCGGCTATCTTCACTCAAAGTCGCAAAAAGAGACCTCCCGTAAATACGACATTGCCAATTATAATAAAGGTATTTTACAATTACATTGACAGTTTAATCACTCACCAAACGGTATCAGGAACTCCACGTATGATCACGTGTATTTGATATTCATGTCCATGACCCCCATGCAATTTTCGCGTCAAAATTTAACCTCAGTTACTACGCCCGTTTTATGCATAGAACCGTCCATGGTAATAAGATTCCCGGCGTTGATTGGCCGAGAAATGAGGGCGATCTATTGTTATGCATAGTCATCGGACAATTCCATATTCGCCGTGTATTTCAAATGGAGTTACGATAAAAGTTGTTCTTTGTGTATAGAAATGGTTATAATTATTATATAGCTAATGAATATATCGACAAATGACTGGCACCATTTGTGTTTCTGGTACCATTTGTATAGTTTGGGATATCAAGTAAATGGGGTTATCCAAATTACCGATAAATGCGCTAATTGCTTGGGGCGTCTTCATTTTTGTCACGTGGCCTATTTAAACAATGACACCTTAAATGATATTGTCTGCGATATCACCTCGGTGGAAGCGGACGTAAAATACAACTAACACTAACTAAATGATACGGTATTTTAAATTCCAATCACAAAATGCCTAATTTATAACAACGCAAGACGGTAATTCGGTGATTATGATTAGGGCAGTCACATGTTAATTGGGCCGATAAATACACACTTGTCAACTGGTGGTGTGTATAGACATTGATATATTGTACAGACAGTGATATATTGGATTAAAGCGGAAATTGCAAATTTTCTAAGAAAGTCAAAACGTAATTATTTATATGTCTTTTGCTCAATAGGTTGTCAACTCACAATTATACGATCATAGGTGTCATTCTCACAGTTAAAACTCATTTCCACAGGAAATAATAACACAATTACCTCCCTTGTTTTCTATTCTCCACCATGGAGTAGCTTTTTTCAACGTTTGAAAATGAAGAGGAAAATTATATTTTTGCCAATTTCTCAGCCGGCAATAGTGAATTGTAGGATTAATAGGATTATTCTTTAACAAGGTAGGACTGTTTATGAATACCATCTATTTTCAGGCTTTATTTTTATAAATTTTAAAAATATAACTTAAAAATTTGCAATTTCCGCTTTAAGGTTGTAATGGAAAATTTGAAAACCGTTTATGGCTTTCGGATACTTAAACCTTAATAGCTGAATTAATTTGTCTTGTCTGCGATATGACCTCGGTGGAAGCGGGCGTAAATACAACTAACTCACACATAATTAATTTTACTCAGATTGGTTTGAACTTGCCGTAAAATGGATATAGTAACTATTGGCTATACATCCCAAACTTAGACTGCCTGTGAATAGGCCCTAACCTAATTAACCGACATTTTAATTCCTACATCGACGATTTTAGTCGAAAACACCGAGT